TGGTGTGTTGTGGCTGACGCTGGAGGTGGTGATGTGCTGTGGCTGAGCTGGAGGCGATGGTGTGCTTGTGGCTGACGCCGAGGTGATGGTGTGTTGTACGACGCCGAGGCGATGGTGTGTTGTGGCTGACGCCGAGGTGGTGATGTTGTGGCTGACGCCGAGGTGATGGTGCTGTGTGGCTGGACGCTGGAGAGGTGATGGTGTTGTGGCTGGATGCTGAGGTGATGGTGTGTTGTGGCTGACGCTGAGGTGATGGTGTGTTGTGGCTGACGCTGAGGTGATGGTGTGTTGTGGCTGACGCTGAGGTGATGGTGTGTTGTGGCTGACGCTGAGGTGGTGATGTGTTGTGGCTGACGCTGAGGTGATGGTGTGTTGTGGCTGACGCTGAGGTGGTGATGTGTTGTGGCTGACGCTGAGGTGTGTTTTGGCTGACGCTGAGGTGATGTTGTGTTGGGGCTGACGTTGATGTGATGTTGTGTTGTGGCTGACATACACACCTCAACTGACACACTCTTCGGCTGACTCATACCTCAACTGACACACACCTCAACTGACACACACCTCAACTGACACACACCTCAACTGACACACACCTCGGCTGACATTTGAATTATAATATCACTGTCAGGAATTAAATAACATAATCTAGCTGGTCCGCGATGAGGGCTGAAGCTGACGCCGTGACCTGTACGACCACCTGAGTGTAACAGTGTCAGCCACCGTCAGTCATGCGGAAAAAGGACAAATCCCAAGAATGTAAACAACAACAACAATAACAACAACAACAACAATAATAACAACAACAACAACAATAACAATAATAACAACAACAACAATAACAACAACAACAACAACAATAACAATAACAACAATAACAACAATAACAATAACAACAACAACAATAACAACTATAACAACAACAACGACAATAATACACTAATAATCTCACATATACACAAACATTACACAGGTATACAGTTCAGATATAATTAACACAGGTAAGTATACACATCATACACCCTTCAAATTTATATATAAACACAAACTACCAAGAGGAAATTCTATCAATACCAATATATATAAAGAATTAGATACGTTAACGGTAAGGAAATAGTGATGACGTGTGTGTGTGTGTGTGTGTGTGTGTGTGTGTGTGTGTGTGTAGATTATAACAAAGGGAAGGGAAAGAAAAGAATAAGAGAGAGAGCTACCCCGTGTACTTATCAACTAACTTTTTAATTAAGCGAAGACTCCCGAATATAAACAACAGCAAATAACAACAGTAGTAAACCCTCCTTTCCTTCCCCCCCCCCCCTTCTCCCCTCCCCTCCCCCTTCCTCCCCTTACACACAATGAACCGATGACTAAACGTTCACAAGAAAGTTTAAAAAATGAAGGAAATATATCAACTTGTTTACTTTGTTTAATAAATGAATCTAAAAGTAATTAAATGGCTTTATATTTATGAATTATTATCGTGTGTGGTGAGCTGATGTGATGGCGGTTGTGTAACGGATGTGGTGACGGCTATTTAGGGTATGTTAAACATCCTTCACACACACAAACAAACACACACATACACACACACATACACACACACATACACACACACACACACGCACACACACACACACAAACACACACACACGCTTTGTATAAACATGAGGTGTTTATTCTGAAAACAGCGCGTGGCCTTTATGTGAGTGAGTGAGTGCGTGAGTGAGTGAATGAGTGAGTGAATGAGGGAGTGAGTTAGTGAGGGAGTGAATGAGTGAATGATTGGTCAGGTTATCTTGTGATGTGACGTCATTCTAGTCATGTACACCAAATGTTACGTCACACACACACACGCACACACACACACACACACACACACACACACACACACATATACATACTGTACGTAATTATCAGTATTAGAAAGACAGAAACTACTACTACTACTACTACTACTACTACTACTACTACTACTACTACTACTACTACTACTGAACCACCCTGTATACGGCCTCACTAACCACTACAATGATCTGTGGTTTTTGTCGCTACATCACACGTATTGTAAAAGATGATTATCAGTACAAACTTGTAAACAAACTTGTAAACAAACTTGTAAACAAAAAACATCTCTATGACCGACTGTAAACAAAATGTAAACTGGTACACAACTTAATTTTTTCTTCGTTCAACAGCCGACCTCTGAACGGGGGACCTTCCTCAGGGGGTATTTTCTGTCTTGGGGTATGAAGTCATTCGTTATATTTGGTCGTTATAATAGTAGTGGTGTAGACACAGACATACAGACACATACAGACACATACAGACACATACAGACGCATACAGACACATACAGACGCAGACATATGCAGACATGTTTATTCCAATACCTTTCAAACTTCCTCCTCCTCCTTCTCTCTGTTGATTCATCGCTTCTGTGAAATACTTGAGGCTCACATCCAAGTGTTATGAGTCTTGATAAACACTCCTTCAGATAGTCTCCTTATACACTCACACTTCACACTCACACTTACACTCACACTCATACTCACACTCACACTTCACACTCACACTTACACTCACACTTACACTCATACTCACACATTATCCAATCACAAAACTATGCGTCATATTGGTGGGCGGGGCTGAGTTTAATAAACCAACAGATTCAACATTTCTCTGTTTTTCCTCATTCAACATTGTTCCTAAACACTTGAAAACATCCGTCATCATCCTCATCATCATCATCGTCATCATCACATCTCAGTTTCATTTGAGTCATTCTGCTTTGTCTCATTGTTTCATTCTTGACGTTAAGTAATATAAAGATGACATCAAACACTCCCTCCTGACGCACCTCCAAATACTACTGACGCACTTCCAAATACTACTGACGCACTTCCAAATACTACTGACGCACTTCCAAATACTACTGACGCACTTCCAAATACTACTGACGCACTTCTAAATACTTCTGACGCACTTCTAAATACTTCTGACGCACTTCCAAATACTACTGACGCACTCTCAAATTCTACTGACGCACTTCCAAACACTCCTCCTGACGCACCACCAAATTTTACTCCTGACACTCCACAGTTATTTCAGGCCACTTGCTGACAGTGACTGGTACACATGTCCTGCTGTCTCCATCACCAACATTCCTGACAGTCTTCAGTAAACTTCCTCGCCCGTGTACACAAGGTCAGGACGTCCCCCTTGCCCTTCGTCAGGTTAAGTGAAGGTGACTGATTATTCTGACTCCTTCTGCAGTTGATCTGGGTAAAGGTATTTGATCAGTTAATCCTAAGACCTTCTCTATATACCTCTTTCTCTATGTTTCTCACCTTTCATAAGACCCCCTTCTCCTCTTTCTCCTCCTCCTCCTCCTCCGTGTTCCTCACCTCCCCACTAAGACCTACCCTACCTCCTACCTCACCATCCTTCTCCGCGTTCCTTCACTTCCACCTAAGACCTTCTCCCTACCTCCTTCTCAAGGCTTTTTTCCCCTCTAAAGTTTCTAACGTATATTTTCCACCTTCTGTACTAACACTTAAAAACAACAAGAGAACAATATCAGTCTTTCTCTTCATTGACTTACTCATTCGTCATTTCTTCTTCTCCACATTTTCTTCTTCTCTCCAACTCTGCTTTACTTATCTCTAAACGTCTCTCATTAGCATTTTTCTTTAATATATCTCATGGTTGACGTCCTCTCTCTCTCTCTCTCTCTCTCTCTCTCTCTCTCTCTCTCTCTTGACCAGACCCAACCCATACATCCTTCTAAAACTATTAGAACTTGAACGGATTACTGTGACAAAAAGAGAAAACATGCTGCAGTCACCAACACCCCGGGCAGGACCACGACACTCACTACCTACTGTGACTAGACCACTGTGACTTATTATCTGGCTCAGTATACATCTATGATTCGCCAACTTAACGTAACCTATCCTAAGCTAACCTAATCTAATCTAACCTAACCTAACCACCACACGGGCAGGCAACCTCTTGGCGTCAGTACACAACTCTTGTTTTTGTTGTCTTTGCTCAGGTTAAAGTTCGGGTTTTTGTCTCGTGTTTATGTTACAACTTGGTGGATTGGTTGTTGATTTTAATGGCATTTTTTTATATACCTGTAGACGCCATGGGTTAGGTTAGTATGTAGTAATTTGTAGTATCCATATTTGCTATAGGCAGCTTAGTATGTGTTGTGACAGATGGTGACAGTGTTGTGACAGGATCGTATCAGTCAGGGAGAGTCACAACGCTACCCTCACCATCAACAGCCCACATGACTCAGCCTTCACTATACAAGCACTTGGGGTTTGCTTTCCAATGTTTGACAAATACAGAAGAACTTTCAATTTAATTCACTTAACCTCTAACTTGTTGTGTGTACGTGACGTTGTCCTGGGAGGAGTGGAGGGTCTGCAGGTGTGCTATGTGAGTCTATAGGTGGCGCCCCCTGTGTGTTATGGGAGTCTATAGGTGGCGCCCCCTGTGTGTTATACGAGTCTATAGGTGGCGCCCCCCGTGTGTTATGTGAGTCTATAGGTGGCGCCCCCTGTGTGCTATGTGAGTCTATAGGTGGCGCCCCCTGTGTGTTATGGGAGTCTATAGGTGGCGCCCCCTGTGTGTTATACGAGTCTATAGGTGGCGCCCCCCGTGTGTTATGTGAGTCTATAGGTGGCGCCCCCTGTGTGCTATGTGAGTCTATAGGTGGCGCCCCCTGTGTGTTATGGGAGTCTATAGGTGGCGCTCCCTGTGTGTTATATGAGTCTATAGGTGGCGCCCCCTGTGTGTTATATGAGTGTATAGGTGGCGCCCCCTGTGTGTTATATGAGTCTATAGGTGGCGCCCCCTGTGTGTTATGAGTCTATAGGTGGCGCCCCCTGTGTGTTATATGAGTGTATAGGTGGCGTGGTAGGATGGCCTTGGGCTGGTGAGGCTTTTGGATGAAGTACACCAAGATCTTAACGAGTTCGTGTCCCTCTCCACAGGCAAGATGATGGGCAGTAAGTGAGTGAACGGTGGCCAGAGAGCGTCATGTCCGGGCCGCCCCCACTCATCCAGGCCGCCGTGGCTGCCAGTGTGGGTGTTGGGGGTGCCCTGCCCCCCACCTACCTCATGCCTCCCACCCACGAGTCCCTCCTGCACTATAGCTTCCCTTCTGAGGCCGACACTCTCGCTTACGTGGACGCCCTCAAACACTCAGACCTCAGTGACTGGAGGTCCCTGCAGGAGGTAAGTGGGAGCTACTGTTACTATGGTCATCTTCTACTGTCACGTGACTGTACCTCTCACAACATTGGTTATAACAACTCCTCTGTAACACAAATATAAAAAGAACTATATCATGTGCGGTGTTGATGCTATATATACCAGTAGAGCCAATAGTTACTTTACCTTCATGTTATTATTGAGTATAAGAGTGACTTCCTGTTACGCCACAATGACCTGTCTTGAACTATGCTGACCTGTGTTGACTGTTGACCTGTGTTGACCTCTCCCCACCTGTACTGACATAGGTCGCGGCGCGGGCTGGAGCAGGCTCGTGTTCAGGAGCCGTGACCACCTCGGTACTGACGGCGCTCTACCTGCTGGGGCTATTCAACCTATGTGTCGCGTCACCCGCCTCCTGCTGCGTCCCTCCCGCAGCTGTCCGCACTCGACGCCGCAGGTACGTCCACACACCCACCTCCCCAGTCTCTCCCCTCCCCTCCCTCATCCATCATGCAGTGGTGGTAGCTCCAAAGCTCGCCAAGGTGCCATGCAGGACAAGGCTGGTAGACCTATGGAACAGTTTACACACCGCCAGCGTCCATCACAACATCAGCCAGTTAAACGCCAATAACATTCTACTGCAGGAGTCATGAATTTATCAACAGTCCTTAAGAAAATAACTGATGTCCTCCCCGAAGGCATAATTGTATAAGACTCTGGTAGAAAGACCTAATTAACCTGAAGACATAATGAACAAAAGAGTTAAACAATTCTCTCAAGTTATATAAACAAACCAGAACAATAACAACTTCACGCCAGGCGACAGTATCTCATTGGCTGTCCTAGAAAGACTACAGTACCTACACTATATAACCCCCCTTGAGTTAGGTTAGGTTATGTTATGTTAGGTTAGGTTAGGTTATGATAGGTTAGGTTAGGTTGGGTTAGGTTATGTTATGTTATGTTAGGCTAGGTTAGGTTATATTATGTTAGCTTTGATAGGATTTCACAGATTCTTGTTTCCTCAGTGTCAGGTAAGTACAGCGACTCCACAAGCGTCCAGTTGATGCCCAGCGGTTCATCCAAGGTGAGGGTGTGTCGTGGACCGGAACCGACCTTGCCTGTACGCCCGGCCCTGTTCACTATCCCAATGAAAGGACAATGCACAAACCTCACACCTCTTATTTATGTCCCATTTAACCGTATACATTTATTCCATCTGTTTTTCTCATTAAATTTCATAAATAGTTTGTTTTTTTCTCTCGTCTTGAAATGTTCGTGCAAGTCAGGCAAGTTAATTGTCTGTATATGTGTTTGGTATTCATAGTGTGTTATTGTGTGTTAAGTAAGAAGCGTTTGTTTATATTTCCTGAGGTGTGTGTGTGTGTGTGGTAGCAATATATTACAGGTAGTAGTAGTAGTAGTAGTAGGTAGTAGTGATGCAGTAGTGCAGAAGTGGTGTAGTAGCAGTAGTAGTAATTTAAGCCTCTATTAATCCCTAACACTCAAGAAATGTCAAATTATGGTTAACTTAAGACAATGACAAAGATAAAAAAATCCCCCCAAATTATAGATAATGGTAACAGTATCTCCCTGATCACTCCTGACAATGTTTACACCAACACAGCCCCGCGTGATGGGTGTGTACTACGGAATGTTTTTATCAGTGTCTTGTATCATGAATGACCTGTGTCCAGCAGCTTCCTCCTGTGAATCTATGAAACCTTTTGTAACCGTGTGTGACCCCCCCCCCCCGGCAGGACGGTGGACCCTACACTACCTCCGCTTCTCAACAACCTTCAGTATAACCTGTCGAGCCTCTCCCTGGAGCAGTTTAGGGCTCTGCCGCACGTCACTACGCCAGATGGGGGACGCGTCCCTCTACACATCTCCGTTGTCGAACAGGTGAGGCACCTCTTCCGTCTCTTGTGTGGGGGAAACTTTATTGTCTGTCGGGGAAACAAGGGAAAAGTCTTACTGTCTATGTGTGTGAAACAAGGGAAAAAGTCTTACTGTCAATATGTGTGAAACAAGGGAAAAGTCTTATGCTCGACAAAGAAGAAGTCTTATAGCCAGTGCATGACTTGTATGAAAACCCCGCCAGGTTACGCATGACGGGTCAGGAACCAGCCAGGCATGATGCAGGTTCATAAAGGTACAGGTTAACTTTTCACGGTGTCTACTATAATACTCCTGTTATATAGTGATAATAAATGCCGTAAAAGCTTAATTAGACTTTCCTTAACATAAACACGAGGGCTGGGTAGGAGGGTGTATATGTCTCCCACCTACACACATAACATTCATGAGTCTAAAGATGGCTGACATAAACAATCACCCCGAGAGAGACATATTTTCCGCCTTCTTATTAGTTCTTCAATGTTATGAGGTCACTGTTTATGGTGACACTGTGACACGAGTTTATAATCGCGGCTGTAAAGGGTCATTCACACTTACTCTCTCACTCTCACACTCACACCTCTCTTGTCAGCTGCAGTAATCTGAAATAAACCGACGGCAATAATCACTTGAGTCCTAGAAATACTCGCAACCTATTCATGGCAACTAGATGTGTGGCGTTCAGACTCTATTAATTTTTTTTTCTCTCCAGGTTCGTAAGTTATGGGATTCGAACCCTCGGCTGTTATCGTCGGTGTCGTGTTCATCAGCAACAGAATCAGTCCGGTCATCGTTCATCTCCCTGAGTGGTGTGGCATCTGGGATCATTCTAGCTTACAGTGTGGCGCAGTTGTCACAGTGTTACCCTGACCACACCCCACACCCCAGTCTTCCTCCTAAGATATGGTTCTTCCCCATCCCCAAGAACTCCTCCCCACAGCCTCACTTCCCTGTTCCCATCACACCCAGAGAGATCCCAGTACCAGGTCAGTCAGTACACGTATTAGGAATAGCCTGCACTCTTTATCGTTGACGTTCTCGTGTGTGTGTGTGTGTGTGTGTGTGTGTGTGTGTGTGTGGGGTAGACTATGCACATCTCACAGTCCTTGAGATGTGCAATCATTACACATCCTTCATAGTGAGAATACTGAATTAATCATACATTTCAATAATGAATATACAGTATATATATTCTTTACTTGTCAGTGTTAGCATGTTGTTACGGTGTTGTGTTGCGTTGCTCAGTGTTAACGTGTTGTGTTGTGTTGATCAGGTAAAGACGAAGCAGAGGATGGCTGTGAGAGAGATGAGGTGCCACTTGCCCAGGATAGGTGTGCGCTGCTCCTGTCATCTGAGCCTTGCCCCTACAAGCACTGGGTCCTCCTCAACAAAGATACCCGAATGGTGAGTCGCTCGAGTCTCTTGATATTTGTATTTTATCCGAGTGTGAATTTAGTTTATATTCTGTTGGAGATTTGATGATTCATGTGAGTATTACAACGTATGAGGGGCTTAAGAGTTCACATGCTTGAGAGAGAGAGTTGTATGGTTCCATTTAACTTAACATTCTCACTTATTATAATTCAGGTGTCAGTATACACACAATTTTCCTCGTTAACACCTTGTGCTCTGTGTGGGCAGGGTGAGTGTGTACCTCGTCTGTGTGCGGACAACTTTGTATATGTTGAAGCTGATCAAATGTGCCACGATGTGAACGAACCTGGAATTTGTCCTGGCAACAGACGTCTCTACCTTACAGCCGCCGGGAATGCAGTGTGCGACTGTCCAGAAGGTACACGGAGTTTATTTAAGTTTCCCTTTAATCATGAAACAGAAAATGGTTAAGGCAACACTAGAGGGCTAACTGAGCTAATATTAACACCGCACATCATTACTTTACTATGTTCTTGTCTTTAAGTGTACTGTATTTACAGTGTACAGGAAATGAAATTTGTAAGGCTTACTCTTTCCATTGTGAAATTTAAAACAGTCAGTTTTTACTATAGAGTCACAGCCTAGATTTGTATTATATTCCTAAATATTAATTTATTTTACTGGTAATAATTTAGGCGTTCCCATACATTTATTAAGACATGTTTACTGTAGTGAAGCTCGTAGCTGACCTACACACAGTGTTGTCCCCGACCAGAGCCTCACACACTATAATTTAATTAGCTTGTTCACATTAGTTTACTATCAATGGTCAAGAGATGATTCACTTGGTGTAGGACACTCACCCATCAACACTAGACACACTGGTCAGCCACACCCACAGTGACGGTGACACTCACAGTGACGGTGACACTCACAGTGACGGTGATACCCACAGTGACGGTGTCACTCACAGTGACGGTGACACCCACAGTGACGGTGATACTCACAGTGACGGTGACACCCACAGTGACGGTGTCACTCAGTGACGGTGACACCCACAGTGACGGTGAGACCCACAGTGACGGTAACACCCACAGTGACGGTGTCACTCACAGTGACGGTGACACCCACAGTGACGGTGATACTCACAGTGACGGTGACACCCACAGTGACGGTGTCACTCACAGTGACGGTGACACCCACAGTGACGGTGTCACCCACAGTGACGGTGACACCCACAGTGACGGTGTCACTCACAGTGACGGTGAGAACCACAGTGACGGTGTCACTCACAGTGACGGTGAGACCCACAGTGACGGTGAGACCCACAGTGACGGTGACACCCACAGTGACGGTGTCACTCACAGTGACGGTGACACCCACAGTGACGGTGTCACTCACAGTGACGGTGACACCCACAGTGACGGTGAGACCCACAGTGACGGTGACACTCACAGTGACGGTGACACCCACAGTGACGGTGACACTCACAGTGACGGTGACACCCACAGTGACGGTGTCACTCACAGTGACGGTGTCACTCACAGTGACGGTGTCACTCACAGTGACGGTGACACCCACAGTGACGGTGACACTCACAGTGACGGTGACACCCACAGTGACGGTGACACTCACAGTGACGGTGACACTCACAGTGACGGTGACACCCACAGTGACGGTGACACTCACAGTGACGGTGACACCCACAGTGACGGTGACACTCACAGTGACGCTGACACCCACAGTGACGGTGACACAGTGACGGTGACACCCACAGTGACGGTGACACTCACAGTGACGGTGACACTCACCGCCAGAGTTAACCTTCTCGCCCTCCCTCATCCCAGGTATGTTCCCCGGGCCCTCCGACACCTGCTACTTCCTGTACGAGCCGGGTTACTGCCAGCAGGGCTCCGTCGTCATGTTTGACAAATACACCAAGACCCTGACCTGCAAAGTTGACCCCTGTGGTCACGTCAATAATGACCTCTGGCCTGATGACCTTCCGTATGCCCCGAGAAAGGATGGCTACTGCTACCAGTTTAATGAGGTCATTCTCTTGTATTATTTATATTCCTGGCGGTATATTAACACATCTAAGCTGTCATAGTGTACTGTACATAATACCATCCGTTATGTTATAGGGCAAGTCATGTTGTACACACCCGCCTGGCGTGGTGTAGGAGGGTGTTAATAATGCTTGCTCACTCCTGCAGCAAGGACCCTGCAGGCGAGGCCAGAGGTTTGGTTACGACACAGACCAGCTGGAGGCCACCTGTGTATCGCTGAGGGAGGCCGGACTCGTGCGGCCTCGTAGGTCCTTCATGTTCCAACAGATGTCCTTCCCTGCTGCCCAGGACCATCGCTACAACCACTACCAGGTCACTACCACCACAACCACACACACACACACACACACACACACACACACACACACTACTGGTCACATGTTCTACAATATCTATATAATAATAGTTTTGTTAACGTCATTACCCTACGTAGTAAACAACATATAGACGAGTATTACCTTGTTCAAAGTTTATAGATAGTATATATATTTAATATCTCAACATAAGATAAAGTGAAGTAATATATGTAGCGTGGAGCTTGTCTTAACACAGTCGACTCCTGTTCTGTGTGTCCTACTGTAGATCCACCACTGTCTTCACTTGGTGTCCCATAAACCCACTAACTTGTTCATCCATGCACCGGACGTCCCACTGACCCATTAACCAGATGTCCAATAAATATATTAGCTTACTCAGCCATCAATTAGGTGTCCTATACATTAATTTATATAGCCTTTGACTGCTTCTCTGTGTCTTACTCAACCATTACCTCTGTGTCCCAGGTGTCCTACTCAACCATTACCTCTGTGTCCCAGGTGTCTTACTCAACCATTACCTCTGTGTCCCAGGTGTCTTACTCAACCATTACCTCTGTGTCCCAGGTGTCATACATCATCATGAACGGCACCACGTGGGACTTGGAGGTAAAAGGGATCAGGAGGTCGAGGAGGGAGGCCCGCTCGACCCCAGGTCAGGGCCCTCACTTCTTACACTCGGGCCAGATGGTCGTGCCCTTCCTGGACACTCGAGAGATACCCCACGACCTCTACTCACTGAAGAGGCCGCGCCGCCCGAGGTGGATGAATCACAGACGAACCAGAAGGGGAAACAACCACGCCAGCCGTGTAAGACATCGCCTGAATGTGAGGCATCAAAGAAGCCACGGAGGCACAGCAAGAGGCAGTCATGGAAGAACTCCTGCCACGTCTCAGCCGACCAGTAGAAAGATAGTGAGGGAGACAGATGATGATGATGATGAAGGCGAAGAACCACGGGCAATGGTCTGGACAAGGACTACCGCCGAGCACCGACCACGACCCAGGAACAAGAAGAAGAGAAGGCGAGGTAGGGGGAAGGGCCAGGCGGTAGCAGGGCTGCAACGCACTTTTCAGGGCTCAGAGGTCACCATCACCATGAGAGAGGCCCCTGACGCTGATGATAAGGTGAGGCACTACACCAGACACTGTCAAGGTGAGACGGTAACAGCAAAGAGAACATTGTCAACACTAGAGGGATGATCTTGTCTAGGTAGAAGGCATACTGAGGCACTCACCAGGGGGGGAGGGGAAGTCCTTGTTGACATGAGAGAGTCCTTGTTGTTACCTGAAGGTGTTAATATATATTATGCTAAGGTGATTACTGTTACTTGCTGCTTCAGAGTGGAGGAAGATACTTTGTAGTCTAGACTCTAAACTTGTACTCGTATGTTGATTAATGTTTTGTCTGCAGGTGAACCAGACGTCCACGGCGGCCCCGGTAGTGGTTCAACAGGTACCACAGTCACAGACGGACGACACACCGCCAGCCTCACGGAGTCAACACAAGGGGAGGGTCAACATCAGGCAGAGTCCAGGCACTAAAGGTCAGAAGAGAAAGAGAAAGGGTCGTAGGCGTAGAAAGAAGAAAGGTCGTGAAGGTCACAACAAAAAGAAAAAAGGTCGTAGGCGTGGGGACGGGCGTGGGGGCGGGCGTGGGGGCAAGCGAAAACGCGGTCGTCGGAAGAAGAAAAAACCTGGTACGTGGAAAAACTCAACCCAGGGAGAGAGAAAGAGGAAGAACCCAAAGTTGCCTTTCCGTGTGCCGACTGTGTTATCTCCCGCAGATGGTAATGCCTCTATAGACGGCACTGCGGGTGTCACAGGGAGGGATCACTCAGAAGGTACAGGAGGCAGCGATAAGGAACAAACCACTCCAGATGTCTTCTCTGAGGATGATGACCTTGATCCTGACGAAGAGTCGGAACAGTCGTCCTCGTCAGAGATGTCATTACCAAAGTACCTCCGTCACCGTGGTCGACGACAGCTTGGGGAGGGCGGCGGTATCATCCAGGCGCCTCTACTGAGTGCCTGTAAACCTGGAGCCAAGAGGGACTACAACTACAAGTGTCGCCCCAAGTTCATCCCTCAGGAGAGAGACCGGCGAGGGGCAGGAGGTGCAGGATCCCTCGCTAACACCAACCCTCGGCCACCCAGAATATCCTGCCCAGAGGTGAGACACTTCTCCTTACTGTCTTGGAGAGAGGGAGGCAAGAGGGGGGGGTAGTGTACAGGTATATGTCAACATACAGTAATGATCAACACACAAACACACACACATACACACACACACGTTGTTATTAGTGTAGGGGAAGAGATTAAATGAACACTAATATCATGTTTTTAGTCTTGTGAGAGAGGAAATAACGAAGACACGATAGTATAAAAAATGATACAAAGTGATTAAGAGAACAGGAGTGCATAACACCTGGATATTTAATTAGTAGACACACCTGGCCACATACCTGACTACATATATGTATACAACAAAGCGGTGCCACAGTTGTACATGAAGACGTGTAATTGTAACTCTAATTGGGTAGTTTGCATTATAGAAGGTAAATATTGAATGTTTATAGGAAAGGTAACAGTGTGTGTGTGTGTGTGTGTGTGACTAACATTCTCAGGCAAGGTTGTATTAAGTTATTGGTGGTGTGGGAGTCATTATCCAGCTGACTCCTGATTCTCTCTTCCCCCAGGGCACCCGACTCGACCCCCGGGGTAAGTGTCAGCAGGTGAGCTGACCAGGGCACCACATACCTTCTCCTGCTGACACCATAACTACAGCCTCCTCCTGCTGCTGCTGATACTACACTCACCATCTTTCTGTTCCTCCTGGTGCCACAGTCTTCATCTAGGTGTCTGTCAAGAGTAACCCCAGCACTATACATATTGTGTGTGTGTGTGTGTGTAAGAAATCCATCCTTTACTTGCTTACACACACACACACACACACTGATACACACACACACACACAGGCCTAGGTGTAGTAAACGCCTTTGCACTTGCATTTAAATGTATAATTTTAATTTACTCTGCATTTAAATATTAACACTTACATTTGTATTTAATTTTTCAAAAGCAAATGCGAAAACTACTTCTGCTTCTAATTTCACGCCACACAAGATCCGTGAACACTGGCCGCCTGTGTGGCTGTTCCTATAACACGGCTGCCGCTGAGAGGGTGTGCCAACTCTCAACAGGGGGATAACTCACAAGATATACACGATGTTTGGCTCTGTTGGGCACCATTTTATTTGCATTTAATTCATTTAAAAAAAGTTTTATTTAAATGCATAAGGCTGCATTGAACCCAAGACAACGACTGTGTGTGTGTGTGTGTGTCCAGCTCTACACATGTTGTGGTGAGTGAACCATCAGGTGAAGTTGAGTGAAAATGGCGCCTGAGTGTTGGACGAGTGAGGTGGGTCGTGAATGTTCCTCAACAGTCGTCGTGTGGTCGTGGAGGAAGACTTGCCCTGGTCGTCTTGTGGTCGTGGAGGACAACTTGCCCTGATCGCCGTGTGGTCGTGGAGGACGACTTGCCCTAGTCGTCGTGTGGTCGTGGATGACGACTAACCCTGGTCGTCGTGTGGTCGTGGAGGACGACTAACCCTGGTCGTCGTGTGGTCGTGGAGGACGACTAACCCTGGTCGTCGTGTGGTCGTGGAGGACGACTAACCCTGGTCGTCGTGGTCGTGGATGACGACTAACCCTGGTCGCCGTGAAAGCCGGAGGACGACTTGCCCTGGTCGTCGTGGAAATGTGGAGGACGACTAACCCTGGTCGTCGTGTCGGAGGACGACTAACCCTGGTCGTCGTGTGGCGGTCGTGGAGGACGACTAACCCTGGTCGTCGTGTGGTCGAGGACGACTAACCCTGGTCGCCGTGGTCGCGGAGGACGACTTGTCCTGGTCGTCGGGAGCCGGAGGACGACCTGGTCGTCGGGAGTCAGGAGGACGACTTGCCCTGGTCGTCGTGTGGTCGTGGAGGACGACTAACCCTGGTCGTCGTGTGGTCGTGGAGGACGACTAACCCTGGTCGTCGTGTGGTCGTGGAGGACGACTAGCCCTGGTCGTCGTGTGGTCGTGGAGGACGACTAGCCCTGGTGACACAGACAATAATAATACTGGCATGGTATCACAGACAAGAGGAAGATACAGCAGTGTGTGGCTGTGAGACTGACACAGGCGTGACACACTCAGGTCACGTAACACACTAGTGTCGTGACACACCAGAACAGTGTTAGTGGTCTTGTGTTACCATAAACAATTAATGAAACTTTGAACTTTGTTACAAAACTGAAGTGAACTTAAGATATATAAAACCTAGTGCACTATATATATATATACATATATATATATATATATAAATAAATAAATATATATATATATATATATATATATATATATATATATATATATATATATATATATATATATATATATATATATATATATATATATATATATATATATATATATATATATATATATATATTACCTCAGCTAACCGTAGCTTTATTTTCATTTATTTTTACGAATGAAAACCAAAAATGTGTGATGGTACTCACTGTTTTTTCTCAGTATTTACAGAATATAATGGCTTGTGTTGATTGGCTCCTGTTGTCTGTGACTACGGCGGCCTCTTATTGGCTCTCTCTCATGCTCTCAGACTGTGTAGTACCGCTAATTGGATGTCGAAATCTTCCCTATTTAGTTTAATAAGTACCATTAAGATGGTTACTTGAAATTAATAAATTTAATTGAATAAAAAGGTAATTATTTAATATATTCCTTCAAAGGTGTGGTGTGTGCCTTGGCCTGTTGTGAAGGGGCGGTACATGGCCACGCCTGCCTCTACTACTGTACTATAGTATGTGTCCAGGAGGAGGGCGGTAACCAGGGTCATGTGTCCAGGAGGAGGGCGGTAACCAGGGCCATGTGTCCAGGAGGAGGGCGGTAACCAGGGCCATGTGTCCAGCGGTACATCATGGCGGTAGGGAAGGGAGAAGGTAAAAATACATGATGTAGTGATACAATAAGAGGCGCTTCTGTCCCTTAAACACACGAGAGTTATTAACCAAGCATGTACAGTAAGACGTGAGGAGGCCAGGTGGTCCATATGAGTGAGGAAGGGAGGCGGTAAATGATGACAAGAGTTCTACTAAAGTGAACTCCTCCTGATGGGGGTGACGGGACAGTGACTGGGAGAGAGAGAGGATGACACTGACCATATATACTGACACGACGAGGCAATAAAGCTAATCTAATCGTTGGTAAGGTGACTAAAATTACACATTACTTTCCTTAAACCATTATGTAAGATTATGGCGCCACTATACACCTGAGTTTGAATACTAAATGTTGTTGACGTTCACACACTGGGTAGAATGTAGATTTGTTGATGAACTTGGAAAATGCAGAATACCAGATAGAATGATATAGGAAGTACAAAATAACTGGACAGTGGAAATATCTACCAGTCATCATAGAGTAATTATCCTTATATTATCTAAATAAACTTATAAATCTCTGAAAATAAAGTGATGTCATATACCACCATCTATGATTCAGCTCACAAACTACATCACCAGATTATGGACGTTAGGTATAAGTCCTTTAGCTTTCCTCTCTGTGTCTGTTGCTGGTTGTTGCTGACACGTGATCTTCGCTGCTGACAGTGTACTTGGAAGTGGTAAGTAAAGACATAATTGTTTTTTATTATCATTAAATATAGGTAAATATCTTAGGAAATTTGTAAGGTGAAGGGAATGTCTTTTCGTGTCCAGAAAGTCAACATACTGTACTTACCTACATAAACTTACATACATAGACAACAGCCACGAATAAAGTGTTTTAATTCGACAAAAAGATGTTTAGCTATTTTCAATACATCGGGTAAATAAAACCTAATGTCAATAATACAATACAATACCAAGACAACAATGGGTGATCAGAAAAGAGACGTTATAAATATATTCTTGTAAAAAGTTCAATGTTTACTCTGTTGTTTACCAATGCATATATTTAGTACCATAAGAATCAAAGAGACAAAACATTCTATGTAAGTTATGTTTATTATTTATTTTTACTACAATTTAATAAAGAAATAAGATAAACATTACTTAACACTAAAACACGAAAACAATTCAATCAAATGGTTGTCGACAAGGACCCTTTATATAAACCTGGAGTGTAGACAGTTCTAGGTCAGGTAAGTGTCAGGAGAAAGTAGGGTTCTAGGGGTAAGTGTCAGTAGAAAGTAGAGTTCTAGGGGTAAGTGTCAGGATAAATAAGGTTCTAGGGTAAGTCGTAGATAAGGTTGGGTTCTAGGTAAGTGTCAGGATAAGGTTGTCTTGGGGTAAGTGTCAGGAGAAAGTAAGGTTCGTAAGTGTCAGGATAAGGTTGTGTTCTAGGGGTAAGTGTCAGGAGAAAGTAAGGTTCTAGGGGTAAGTGTCAGGATAAGGTTGGGTTCTAGGGGTAAGTGTCAGGATAAGGTTGGGTTCTAGGGGTAAGTGTCAGGAGAAAGTAAGGTTCTAGGGTAAGTGTCAGGAGAAAGTAGGGTTCTATCCCACAGGTGAGACATTCTTCAAGCCAGCAACACTTGGAAGACGGAGAGAGAGAGATGCCTCAAATCTTCACACAACTCGAAGACATCAACGAGATCTTTGGAGATAATAGGAGACCTTCTCGCCGAGGAGGACAAGACAGGAGACACAGTAACCCAGGAGGAGTAGGAAGAAGACGCTCTGGAGGTGATGGAGACTTAACACCACCTGTCCGTCATCTACCTGCAACAGTAAACACACAGGTAAGTTCTTCTCTATCTGTTCAATTACCGTAGCATTGGCCTTTAATGACTTTCTCTCTCTCTCCACCAAGACTCACCTGGTTAGCAACATACACCTGCCCTAATTTGTTCTCGCTTTCTCTCCTCTTGTTCTCGCTTTCACACGACTCCCATCCAGTAGTCTATGAGCCCCGCCTCGATCGGGTCTCTGCTTGATAGCGCTGATGGGTCTTCTGAGAGGTGACCCTTTCCTAGAACACAGACGAGGGCTGTTAAATTTACCCCTATACGGTGGTGTAATAGTTGGTTCATTATTCTTAACAGGAAGAAATGGAAATATGCGATTGATGATGATGATGATGATGATGACGACTCGGTAAACAACGACAGGTAAACCAATTAATATTTAGGTTTCCAGAGGTTACGACTCACGTGAAGCCCCAGTTATGACCGAGCAAGAGCGAGTATTCTTTCCTGCTGGTATAGAAGGCAGTCACCCCCCGAGTATCAGTGTAGGTGATGGCGATAATGGACTCGATGTAGTATTTCCAGGTAATGAAGGAGTAACCGTTCTCCATCACTCGCGCCAGACCGTCATCCACATCACGGATCTATAACACATATACAATATTACTGCCTTAATTTACATAGAAATGTACATACATGTTTATATAATTTCTCAACTTGTTTATTTTTTTATGTATATATTTATTTAGATATACCTGTATAGATCCTTCCATTAATGGTACCAAAAATCAGTAAACGGACCTATTGCTGTCATTGTTGTTGTTGTTGTTGTTGTTAAGAGCTTCGTCACCTAGTCCACGGCCACCAGGGTCTACTAACAACACGTAATGAACTAACAGCTACAGTACAAGACGCTGGTGTTGGGGTGGACTAGTGGTGACGCTAACATGTTTCACGCCTCGACAAAGTTCTCACCTCCATGTGTTTATAGATGTCCTGGAGGGTCGAGCTGGGGGACTTGGTAAACACCTGAGCATAGGCGCTGTGGAGTAATGGCGCCTGACCACCCCACGACCAGCTTGTCTGCCCCAACACGTCCTCAAAGCTGTTGATGGGGGACGACTTACTCTGTACGGTGAGGTGCGCCACCAGCGATGACTTGTAGGCCTTAAATCACTAGGCAGAACAACAACCAACTTCCCGCCAATACCTGCAAGTAAAAGGTAAGATGAACAATCATCTTATGTAATATATCGCTAGATTCAGGACAATTTTGATTACATTTTTACCCATAAGTTACGCGTTGAATTTTGTGACAATGAGATGTCTCCGGAAGGCTGTCGCTTTTTCTGAAACTGTACAGGTGTTGATCAGATAATTAGTGGAACACCCAGCCTGAAATACCTTCAGGATGATGGAAAGATATATAATATAAATATTTTTTTCGCTGTCATACTTGGTCAATCATGTTGGTTGTATGTTGGGAGGGATTAGAGATGACACGCCAGCTGTTCGGAGGGCGTAGACCAGCCCAACACCCCGCTTCCCACTCGCCCACGACCACGCCTTCTGCAGGAACCAGCCGATGAGGCCCCATGCCATGGTGCTCGTCACTACCAGCACCCACAGCTCACCTGCACAGTGAACTTTGTTGACATTATCTGACAGGACTTAGTCGTAGGAACATATACTCACACTTCACACTAAAGGCGATTTTTCTTCATCAATTCAAGTGGCAAATATTGAAATAAACTTTTCCTTGTATTTACTGGTGATGTTTATGTCAGGGTCATGTGTGGTGATGTGACTCACCGTGACAACACTAACACAGTGTTGTAGGAGCTGAGTCAGTCACGTTATATTAGTATGGTTGTCTAAGGTGAAGTTGGGACATTTTCACAGCTTCTCCCTCCCCAGCCTCACACACCACTAAGAGAAACAATTAAACCAGTAAGTCGTGTTGACACAGAAGGGAGATAGAGTAAGGTGTTAGTTACCTGCCAGGGGACTGATGATAGAGGTACTGCGGCAGAGGCTGTGGCTTCAGGGAGATATCGATGGGGTCGTCCGTGTAGATCCTGGAGTAGTCGACGACGGGCAGCCTGGCACGGATCATGGTGAGAGTGAGGCTGAAGTCAGCTTGGTAGTGTTGGAGCAGCCCCACGATACCGGTCCAGTCGCCGCTCTCCTCCTCCACCCCCCACTGTCCATCATCAGGCTCCGCTAGTTCATACCTCCACCACCACAAAAAATACTGGATATAGATTGTCTATAATACTCCTACAGTATATTATTAATTTATTTCCAAGAGTATCCCACATCAGTTGTATTTGTGTCGGCATATACAATATTATATGCTGTGATATTGTCTTAGTTCACGTCTGTAAGTCAGCATATAACTACCGCTCTTGGACAAATTGAAGATGGTTAGATTCAGCACCACACCTACTGTTACACCCGCTCGTTTGTACAGTCGCCCAGCTGAGGCTACGTGTGTGTGTGTGTGTGTGTGTGTGTCACCAGGATGATGTCTGGCGCTTGTACAGATACTAACATGCCCTTGAGGAGTCACTAGGAACACCTTACGTAAAGTTGAGGTGTGTGGCGGCGGTGTTGAGGATGCGGGTGTTGAGAGAGTCTCGGGGCGTCAACACCACTGAACCGTCAGACTCTTGTTTCTTCTCGTAGTCAGTGAAGGGGAAGTATGGGAGCACCAAAACCTTCTCCCTTCAGGTTCTTCATGTCCTCTGGCGGGAGAAACACGCCTGTATAACTCAAAGCTTCATTTGTTGGTCGCTTAGTAACAAAAACACCGAGATTATACCTTCCCATTTTCATGTGTTGTTAAAATTATATATTTTTGTTTAGTTTTAAGTAAGGCCAACTTGGTAAGGCTGGACACTCATACAGAAAATCAACTCTTGAATATATGAACTTATAAAACTCATGTGTGGAGTGGAAGATAGTGTGTGTTGGTCTTTTAGATACAATAATTACTTGTTCTACGAGTCAGTTTAAGTTCATGACACTATTAACAATTACACTAGTTCATCAGCAATTAAAGATTATGAGAGATAGAACTTGTTGGGAAGGACTCACCAGGAGGGAACACAGGTGTCTGGTGATCCCTGGAGGTTAGGTTCCAGTTCATGGCCAGCTGGACCCCGGGCTGCCCCTTCCTGCAGTAGAGACACCTTCTGTACACCCTCACCTCCCCGCCGCCGCCTCCTGCACACAAAGTATATTAATAACTTCTTATCATCTCTTCCTCTTATCGAACTCAATAAATTAACTGTGGTATTATGATAACAGTTATTACAGTCTATTACAACATCTGGAAATATGAAAGTAATGTTGTTGTGGTGCCTTGTATAACACTTCTACAGGATAATTATAGAAGAGGCATTTTTATTATTTTTCGTGATATTAAACAGTTTTGTTGGATTTATCATGTTGTCCTGAACGAGTGTTTGTCGTCATGCTGCTCACCTGTAGTGTTGGCCGGGAGGGGGCGGCGGCGGCGGTCAGGCACAACACACAGGGCGCGGAGTGTGTTGCGAAGACCAGGGTGAAGGAGAACGTCCAGCGCTCCTCTCGTCTTACCAGCCAATATGACGCTCGTGTCTGAGTCCCGCCACACCCTAGAAGCCTCCAGGAACCTGCCGAGGGTTATGATCATCGGGTTAACACAGATCTTGTTGTTACAGGTCAAGGTATAAGGTCAGGTGTAGTGATCAGTGGCTACGACCTGGTTACCAATGGATCACCTGGTGTCTGTCCTGCCAGGCTAATTATACTCGACGGGGTGAATGTATGATCATTTTTAATACTTTATTTACTGTTATTGAGATATTATCACTCACCACAAAAGTTAGAGTTATAACACATTACCGTAGAGCCAAGGTGTTGTTAGTAAGGTCGAGTACAAGGGCGTGGCATAGTGTGTAAGCGTCACCCAACAGTGCCTGAAGGAGGTACTGCTGATCGGCCTCGTCCTGGGTGAACAGTGATACAGCGTCCACCGCCTGCACACCTCTCCACACCTCACCACCATACACCGTCCTATCGAGCACAGTACAGTTTATTGACAATGTTTCCCCCTGTGTGTATTCTTCAGTCACACGGCACCGTATTACAAAAGACCATTAACACTACTACTACTAGGTTACCGTTGTGAGGTAGTTAAGACATTTTCACCTGGTTGGGTTAAGGTCTAGAGGTGAGTGTTGTGTGGTAGAGACGATGACCAGGTGACATCCAGCCAGGTAGTCTGTCATGATCCTCTTCACCGCCACGCTTACCACACCTCCCTCCTCCGTCAGGTAACCGGGTTTGGGCACGCCTTCAGCTCCTTTCCTCACCACCATCACCAGACACACATACACTACACATCGCCACATCCTCATCCTGTGTATAAAAGATGTTTCCTCATTAATGTGCGAGGCTCGTGTACTACTAACTTAAGAGCTACACAACGTCTTCATCATGCACTCAAACATTTAATGCACTTGAAGACGAACTACAGTGAAACCCTCGATATAACGGACTTTTCTCTCCATATACAGTCCATTAAATAGATGTTTCACTGTATGACGATGATGATTGTCTGTTTGTTTGTACGTGAGAATATTCCTTGTGTGAGAGAGAGCGAGAGAGAGAGTCCGAAAGACCATCCCCAATACGTGATCATACCTGTTAAGAGAGCGTCCGTCCTGCTACAGAGGCCCAGCTATCAGACCGTGGCGGGCGTGAGAACCATCAAGAGTGAGAGAGCGGAGGGGTGTGAGGAAGAGGCGGGCCTAAGCACCTGCCTCACCCCGTTCGCTAAATATTCAACTGGAGGGCGGTAGAAAAGACACGCCCACCCCCTAACGCCTGTCAACCTATCACACACCTCTTACAAATGTCAGCTGGAGTGAATCATTATCTTGTCTCATCAGCTGCCTCTCTTAGTTCAGTTCCCGATTGTTAAATTAGTTAAAAGTATTTAGTTATCATCGTTCTGTACTTACGAGCAACATCGAAGCGTCTCATTATTTACGGAAGACTATTGCTCATTATGTTAGAAAGTTAAATCATGATAATATAGAAATAAGACAGATTAACAGTACAGTTTAATCATGAAATTATATCACCAGTTAAGGACAGTTTTGTTTCTGATCTAATTATCAGTTGATGTTAAATTGTATCCACGAACTTGTTTTCATTATTATTCGACAAGTTTAGGTTAATATCTAGTTTATATAATACAACATGTAGTAATATATTTGATAAATGGTCATGTAATATTCTTCTTTTAGGGTGACAGACACACAACCTCTATGCCTTCGTTTTCCTTACTGTGGTTAAAACGTAACAGGTGAGTGATCAGGGGCGGATCCAGGAATATCAAAAGGGGATCCAAGAAGTTGTGAGTGGGGAAACATGGCGAGCACAGAGAGCCCACCCAGCTGACCAATATCATGGGGATTTTGAGGCCACATTGAAGCCATGTGCACTTGATATTAGGAGATATCCTGAGATCAGTAGTAATTTCTTTGTACTATACAAAAACGGCTGAGTACAATACTACATTAAAGAAAAGTATTGGAATTTTCTGGTGAAAAGTGGGGTCCTAACCCCCAGGGCCCTCCTGGATTCACCTGAAGATTAGGCACCCTAATATATTTCACCTGATGATTAAACACCTTAACGCTACCCAGAAAATGTTAGGTTAGTTTAAGTTAAGTTTGGGTATCTAATGACCAGGTAAAATATACTAGGGTGCCTAATCTTCAGGTGATCCGTTTGCTTTATGATGTGACACCATAAAGGTACAGACACCATTGGTGTCTGTACAATTCATAACATTATATTATAAAGTATGTGTGTGTGTGGATAGCGAAATATATTGTTCCGTTTTGTTGAGATGACCAGTGTGTGTGTGTGTGTGTGTGTGTGTGTGTGTGTGTGTGTGTGTGTGTGTGTGTGTGTGTGTGTGTGTGTGTGTGTGTGTGTGTGTGTGTGTGTGTGTGTGTGTGTGTGTGTGTGTGTGTGTGTTAATTTACAGCAGGAGGCGGCGGCTAAAGGCTATTAATTATCTTGATGAGCTTGAATAAAACACGTCATGAAACTCCACACCTCAACTTTTATAAATGTCGACCAAACTCTGAAAATTGTAAGAAAACTCGACGTGAAATAGAGTAAAATGTCGTGATAAAGGTGAAGGAATAAACTTTGTAAGAGTTTGTTGTGTGTAGCGGGAGTGACGAGCGTTCCCGCCAACTTGTAAAGGCTACTCAGCATTCTTAACTCACAGGAAACACTTAGAACACTTATTTTGTTATACTCTGAGGCTAACTTTATATTGTGTATTGCCAGGTTATCAACGCTCTTTGGTCTGTCAGTACAATTTTTATAGGTTAATTGAACTTCTCTGGAAAAAATCGAGGATAATAATAATAATAATAATAATAATAATAATAATAATAATAAAATGGTAATAATAATAATAACTAGCACTATTATTGTGTAGTGAAGATATAATGTGGTGTAGTGAAGATATAATGTGGTGTATAGTGAAGATATAATGTGGTGTAGTGAAGGTATAATGTGGTGTATAGTGAAGATATAATGTGGTGTATAGTGAAGATATAATGTGGTGTATAGTGAAGATATAATGTGGTGTAGTGAAGATATAATGTGTTGTAGTGAAGATATAATGTGGTGTAGTGAAGATATAATGTGGTGTAGTGAAGATATAATGTGGTGTATAGTGAAGATATAATGTGGTGTAGTGAAGATATAATGTGGTGTAGTGAAGATATAATGTGGTGTAGTGAAGATATAATGTGGTGTAGTGAAGATATAATGTGGTGTATAGTGAAAATATAATGTGGTGTATAGTGAAGATATAATGTGGTGTAGTGAAGGTATAATGTGGTGTATAGTGAAGATATAATGTGGTGTATAGTGAAGATATAATGTGGTGTATAGTGAAGATATAATGTGGTGTAGTGAAGATATAATGTGTTGTAGTGAAGATATAATGTGGTGTAGTGAAGATATAATGTGGTGTAGTGAAGATATAATGTGGTGTATAGTGAAGATATAATGTGGTGTAGTGAAGATATAATGTGGTGTAGTGAAGATATAATGTGGTGTAGTGAAGATATAATGTGGTGTAGTGAAGATATAATGTGGTGTATAGTGAAAATATAATGTGGTGTATAGTGAAGATATAATGTGGTGTATAGTGAAGACCCACGCACCCAAACAACACTCACACGCACACAAACAACACTCACACGCAAATAACACCCACTCATGGAAACAACACACGCACCCAAACAACACACGCACCCAAATACAAATATCGTTGTGTAAAAATTGGCTAAACCTGACAGTCATTGTTATAGTACGTGATCCTGTATCCTCTATTGCATCACCAGGCCTTCGTGACTGGGAGGAGCGTCCAATCCCTTTCACACGAGAAACAAATAAACGGCTGTGCTCAAACGGGGAATCAAACCTCACGCTGACGATCCTCTTTTGTTTTTTTTTGTTTTTTTTTAATTTTCAATGCCAAGGGTGAAGTGTTGCAATGGTGTTTCAGTTATTTTTCTTTTTACGGTCTTATTTCGCTTTAAATGTTATGTGGATATGATTAAAGGCAGCCGTAAGATTAAAGGAAGGTTTTATTTGATTCAAGACACTCGGTAGATTGGATGAATGAGTTTTTTATGGGGAATAAATTAAGGAAATAAATGGAAGTAGCACAATAGCTAGACTGTTCCACTAACACACTAATGAGTGAATGGTTTTGGTGGGAGTTGTATGAATTAGAGAGAGAGTGTATGTATTGAATAAAAATAAAAAATAAAGAGAGTTGTGTATAAAACAGAGAAAAGAGCTATGACGACACAACGCCAAGACAGAAAACACACAAGCGCCCTCTGGGTTATTAACTTTTCCTCAGTGGGATAATTTATGTTACGAATTTTGTACCTGCGTGACTAGAGGTAAGCAGTTGTAGACAGTCAAACATTCAATAAGAGTGATATATCATCTGAGACATTATGTGAACGTTATTTACTCTTAGAAAATAATAATTCCCTCAATAGATAAAGAATTAAGCTTATCTGGTACAATCTTAGGCATATTCTGTTTGGGATAAATTGAACACTTTATGAACATTTAAGAATCTAGAGCCACTACTGTGTTAATTTCCATAATGTTTCGTCTAAAAGTCGTAAAAAAATATCAGAATCACGGACATTTGGCAGAGATGAGCCACAATGTATGGACAGGAGGGCGGAGACCTCATATAAAGTCCAGGGTGAGGCGACACCCAAAATACATTGATAGCGTTACCTTGATGGGGTGAGGACGGTGTGTGCCTCTGCTCGACTCCTCTCTCAACAACAACAACAACAATGAGGCTACTAACGACAATCGCAGTAAGTCCAGTAAACATTTGATATACAGATTTTTATTTATTTTTACTCCCGTATATTCCCTCACACTCCCTTACACTCCTTTACACTCTCTCACACTCCCTTACACTCTCTCACACTCCCTTACACTCCCTCACACTCCCTTACACTCCCTCACACTCCCTTACACTCCCTTACACTCTCTCACACTCCCTCACACTCCCTTACACTCCCTTACACTCCCTTACACTCCCTTACACTCCCTTACACTCCCTTACACTCTCTCACACTCCCTTACACTCCCTCACACTCCCTTACACTCCCTTACACATGACCTCCCCTCTCTTGCCCCCAGGTCCTGCTACTGCTGGCGGGGCTCACATCGTCCTCTGTAGCTACTGACGAAGGCTGCTGCGACGACCATTGCCCACTACCCATCCCAACCTTGGAGGCTGAGGAAGGACTTCACGGTGACCAACATCAAGACCTCAAGGACGACCTCCATCACGACCAGTTCAAGGACCAAGACTTCTTCACATTTACGTCTGCCAACTTCTTACCCGAGGACGAGGAGATAGAAAACCTGAAGAGTGAACACATTTACACAGAGACAGATGATGATGATAGTGATGATGAGGATGATGATGATAATGATGGTGATGGTGATAGTGATAGTGAGGAAAAGATACATACATTATCAGTGTTTCTATTGCCTCCTCCTCCTCCTCCTCCTCCTCCTCCTCCTCCTCCTCCTCCTCCTCCTCCTCCTCCTCCTCCTCCTCCTCCTCCCCCCCCCCTCCCCCTCCTCCTCCCTAAATTCAACAACAGATCTGACCTCCATGACCTTAGACCCGACCTCACCCTGACCACCTCAGTGCTCTCTCCTCTCCCATACTCTTCAGCTGTATATTTTCAACCACGCTCACAAATACGCCTTCATCGCCGCCCACAACCACACTCACGCCCACAGTCAAGCAACACACACACCCAGCCATCCCGGTCGTCTACTCTCACCTCACCTTCACCTAGCAGTTTGTTTGGTAATACTAGTCCAGATGATGATGATGATGATGAACTAAGAGATGAAAATGACGACGATTATGATGACGATGACAATGACGATGAAGGTGATGATGTCCCTTTGTCTGTGTTCTTTAAGCCTCCCAGGGCTGTCCTAGACCCTCCCAGGACTGTCCTAGACCCTCCCAGGACTGTCCTAGACCCTCCCAGGACTGTCCTAGATCCCCCCAGGACTGTCCTAGACCCTCCCAGGACTGTCCTAGACCCTCCCAGGACTGTCCTAGACCCTCTCACTACAGGTACTACTTCTGCTGCTGCTCCACCAGTCTTAGCGCCCAGCCAGCTTCCACCTCCGGCCTCCACTCTGTCACGACGCCCTACTGACGCTCCTCCGTCGACCTCCTGTGTGGCAAGGAACCCCCTTCCTTCCGCCTCTACGACACTTGGTTACAGGGTGAAGCCTCGCTCTCTGTACCACCCACCTCAACACCAGGTGAGTGTGTGTGTGTGTGTGTGTGTGCGTGCGTGCGTGCGTGCGTGCGTGCCACTATGCTCTTAACATACCGTGGCATACATCATTTCATCAGTGGAGAGACTATACCTAAATTATAACTTATAGAGAGAAATTAAAGTCACAATGTTTTATAACCGACTTCAACAAAACACATAAATAATATAAGTTTGTTTACATTTCCACCATATTTTAAATGTATCTTATATTTTACTCTTTATCTCTGTTCCTCCTCACTCTATATGTTGATAATCGTAGTTACATGACTGTGGTTATCTGTCCTCAGGCACGGTATCAGTTCTCCTACGCCGTCAGTCACTACCAGAACCAGTACGGGCACCAGGAGACAAGGGACGGTGGCCATGTCTCCGGGGTATACCATGTTCTCCTACCAGGTGGCACCAGACAGGTAAATACAGAGGCATCACACAGGTAAACATAGAGGCATCACACAGGTAAACACAGAGGCATCCTACAGGTGAAGACAGAGGCATCGCACAGGTAAACAGAGGCATCACACAGGTAAACAGAGGCATCACACAGGTAAACAGAGGCATCACACAGGTAAACAGAGAGGCATCACACAGGTAAACACAGATGAATAAAAATGGCACGACTTTAACCTAAGAAACTTCACTTTATGTTTACGTGTCCAGAAATAATAACCATTGCCACACCTTTCACCTGTGTTGATTATATTACAGGTGGTCAGGTACTACGCGGACGACACAGGCTACCACCCCACCATCACCTACGAAGACGCTTATAACATTGACCCCAGATCAGTGACCAATCCTCCTCCTCCTCCACCATCCCTCTCCACCACTACCAGGTTGGCTTTACCCCTCACCAACACACCGTCCTCCAACACTCGGCCAGATCGTCACTATACCAAGTTACCTGGGCTAAATTCTCAGGACCGTCAATACATCACGACAGAATCAACAGCGGCGCAAGTATACTCATCTGTCTCAGCCCTGTACACTGTGAGGCTAGAAGAGAATGTATTCAGTAAATATTCACCTTATTCCCACTATCTGAGTACATCATCAGACTTCAGCCATTCGTTAGATACTTCGGTAAGAAATAATTCAGGAATATCAAGGAGTTCTTCAGGATTTTCCAGGCCGAGCACAGCAGTACGACCCGACAGCCAAAGTCCTTCAGGAAGAACTCCGTCTTTCTTCCAACGAGGTCTACTGGTGACTCCACTGAGGCATATTACTGCTGAATCTACCCCAACGAGATATTTTATTCCTAGTCAAAATGTTATTCACTCAGGTAACAACAATATTGCAGGAAGACGGAACTTCCCTCTTGTTCCTTTACGTCAGGTGTCACAAGTTCATGCTGAGCCACGCACGACTACAGTGTCCGTGAGGCTACTAGTGGGAGCCTCTGGGGAAGACTTGGGCTAGGGCGGCGTCGGTAGTTGGTGAGAGGCCGTCACCACCTCCGTCAGAATAACTTTACTCTCCTCAGGAAATTTATTATACAAGAGTGTAGTAAGAACAGGTGTTTAATAAGTTATGTGTCAGGTAAACCAATTGTGATGAACTTGGCAGTGTACAGACCTATGAGTGTGTTTGTGTTCTGTCTTGGTAGTGGCTGTTAAGGTCGTGTAAACAAAGAATTATTAATGACATCTTCCTCTCCTGTGTCCATCCAGAGAATATATTTTCAATCTTTTTAAAATAAATTGTTTCCACTGATGGTTTTATTTCATCTTCCTTCAGAACTGTTATTGTTGTTTACTAGTGACGAGACAATATCATTACACACACACATTTTATATAACAAGTATCGGCAGCAGTGGCCGACCCGAGCTGGTTTGGCCTGACAGATCCAATTGATTCACAGTTCATGAGAATGAGTCGAAACGTCTCGTATCTTTTTTAGTTAACCTCTGTCGACCAATCATCATATTCCCTGAACTTTGGGCCACTTAGAATCCAGCAAGTTTATAGCCAATTAGAAATCTGTATTGCACTATATAAAAATACATCCCTAGCTCACACTGGACTTAAGAGACTCGCCTCAACATCTCAGTACCCCCAGTTTTCACACATTACTTGGGTTTACTCTCTACGCTGCAGGACCTTATTTACTGCTAAGTGTCCCTCCACCTTTGTCTCTCTTTATATCAGGTAAGGTAACTTCAGCCATCGTGTTGTTTATGTAACCTTTACTCTGAGCTGGTTTACTGTCCCTGTGTTATTATGCTCCATGTTAACCATCTGTGTAACTTCTCTTTACTTTGTACTTTGTTGTCTAGACTTTAATGTAAATAGTTATAAGTTATTTATAGTTGCTGTTTTTACTTAGTCGTTTACTTCACCGTTTCTGTCTTGTAATGTTCGTATGTTTTCTCTGCTTTATAACCCTGCATTATTATGTTAAAGAAACACTATAATGAAATATAAGAGTTATCTTGGTGTGCTGAGTGTTGGAGAAGGATGTTGAATATAAAACTAATTTTTTAATATACAAATAATATTTACTTTGTCTAGATAATTTTTCATTGTTTGCCTAAGTTAAAAAGTTATATATCTTAGTCAATGAATATAGGTTTTCAGTAACATATACTGCCACAAGTAGAGACAAAATGGAACTGCGATAAGTCTCGTTCCAGCTCATGCTTCGAGTTTGCCATGGGACTTTTGTTCGTCGCTGTTCATGTACAGTAGACATTTCAGTTTGGTCTGTGGTACTCGATGAGCTGAGATAATTACCCTTTTTCGTGCGTTGGGACACGGCAAAAGACAAATTTCTTCATTTATGTTTCACTAACCTCGTGGAGTCGTGTACAGTAACTAAATAGTTTCCCAAAGAACTAGCTTTTTAAGTTTTCTGTTACATGTTATTTCATTAAATACTTTCTGCTGCAATGACTCAAGTATTTAAAATTGAAGGACATCTCTCAGGAACACTTTACACACGATGACGAGCTGGATACTTGTTATAGAGAAAGTGTATCATGAGAAAGAAAGTAAGAAAGATAGATGCCAAGAGAGCTTTAAGAGGGACTATGAAAGTAGTGGATCTGACATAGTTAGTTTGTTTTGTTTTTTAAGGACTTCTGTAGTACCTGACCATATTAAAAAAAACACAGATATATTCATTTATATTTATTCAGGCTCAATTACGATAGAAATAGGAAATCTACCATAAGGACACGAGGAAATAAAAGAAACATTTACTGACGTTGTTAAAGATTACATTTGGTTACGTGAGGTTAGGATTGGTTAGGTTAGGATGGTGGTAGGTTAGGGTAGGATGGTAGTAGGTTAGGGTAGGATGGTGGTAGGTTAGGGTAGGATGGTGGTAGGTTAGGGTAGGATGGTGGTAGGTTAGCTAGGTAGGTAGGTTAGGGTAGGATGGTGGTAGGTTAGGTAGGATGGTGGTAGGCTAGGGTGGGATGGTAGTAGGTTAGGTTAGGATGGTGGTAGGTTAGGGTAGGATGGTAGTAGGTTAGGGTAGGATGGTGAGTGGTAGGTTAGCTAGAAGTAGGTTAGGGTAGGATGGTGGATGGTAGGTTAGCTAAAAGAAGGTTACGGTGGCTGGTAGGTGGTAGGTTAGTTAGAAGTAGGTTATAGTGGTTGGTAGGTTAGCTAGAAGTAGGTTACGGTGGGTGGTAGGTTAACTCAAAGTAGGTAAGGGTAGGATGGTGGTAGGTTAGGGTAGGATGGTGGGTAGTAGGTTAGTTAGAAATAGGTTAAGGTAGGATGGTGGGTGGTAGGTTAGGGTAGGTTAGTAATAGGTTCCTCGACACTTAGGTTATGGTAGGATGGTGTTCAGTTTCTTTAGATGTAGGTAATGGTAGGATGGTAGCCTGTTTCGTCAGCGTAGTAGTGAACCACCTGAGTCCTACCATCAGGGAGGGTAGTGAAGTAGCGTCCCTCCCGCCTGTAGCCTTCATTCCTCTCAGTGTGACCGAAGTTAACGCCCTCCTGGTGCTCTCCGTACGAGGTGAGGACCCCAGGGCTGCTGACGACGTAACTGAAGGAGTTGTTCTGTAGGAGGAATGATGGGGTTAGTGTGTGGGGAGGAGGGTCATGAGAGATTGTTTTTTGATAACTTTATTTACTGGAGAGGCATATAACTTTACCTTAATTTACTGGAGAGTCATATAACTTTACCTTAATTTACTGGAGAGTCATATAACTTTACCTTAATTTACTGGAGAGTCATATAACTTTACCTTATCCTCGAGAGATGTGTCTGTTGCTTCTCTGAGTAACTTGGTGAACTGTGAAGACCCTCTTGGCACCTGAGATGTCACCTTTCTCCCTCGGGTAGACGACAGTGAAAAAACGTTATTTTCTTTGGAGTCATCTGTGGTGAAGAACACTGATGGCCCTGCGGTCTGCTCGAAGGACGATTCTCCGGATACTTTTGTTCTGGAAGAAGGACCTGAGACTCGGGAAGGAGGACCATAAGTTCTAGAAGGAGGAGAGTAAGTGCGAGTTGGGGGAACGTAAGCCGTAGCGGGAGTGACGTAATACTTGGTGGTTGGCGGGCGGCTGGTGACGAAGGGAGAGTAAGATGTGGTCGGGGCACCGTAGGTCTGGTGAGTAGGGGCGTATTCTTTAGACACAACATTTTGTCCCTGGTGACGATTGGGGATGGTGGTCGAGACGTAGCTGCTGTCAGGAATGGAAGGTACTCGCGAAGGCTCTGAGTACTCCTTAGATGGGGGAGACACGAAAGTACTCGGGGAACTGTACTCCCTGGAGGATGAGGAGAAGGAGCCTCGTGGTTGGTAAGTGCCAGGCCGGGGATGGACCTTCACCTCTGGCAGACTGTAGGAATAGACCTTAGTTGGTAAGAGCCAGGGATGGGGAGAGAAGGGGCGCTGAAGGCCGAGCTCTCTGGAGGAGGAGGAGGTAGTTCTCGGGGCCTGGTATGTGCTAGACGGGGCGTGGTTTTCGAGCGGGAGAGAGTAGGTGGAGACGGGGGCTGTCACTACCTCGTCGGAGAAGGTACGTTGCCTGCTGGAGGGACGGCCGGTCGGGCGGAAACTTTGCAAGAATGAAATGACGTCAGCCTGGCTGGGCCGGAAGTCGTCATCAAAGGAGTTGTTCAAGTCGTCTGGACGAGCGTGACATAGTGAGAGAGACAGCAACAGGAAAACTGGAGCCCAAAACTGTAAACATAAACATAACATTAGTTGTCACCTTAAGAGTGTTTACATCTGGTAGATAAGTTACGAAACGTTATCAAAATATAAGGAAGAGAAGGAATGTGAGGTGAGAAGTGCTCATGTCACAGCGAGTAGGGAGTGACCTGTACCTCCCCACAATGACCGCCACCTCTCCATATAATGTGTCCTGGTGGCGTCTGTGTGGCTTACAGTACACCAGGGGAAGTGGGGGGGAGGGAAGGGGAGGGGAAAAGAAGGGAAGGGAAGGAGATAGGGAAAGGGGGAAGGGAGGGTTATTGTCAAAGTAGAGGACGAGTGTGAGGAGTGGGATGAAGAATTAACTTACATGTGTTAAAAACGATTACTAGTATCAATGTTATACACTACATGATATATTTCCACAGGACAACCTTATCTAACCTAACCTAACCCTACTAAAATTATTCATTACCCGTAAACACACCAATAAACTCTCAGATTTCAATTAATTAAACCCTTACAAACTATCTAGTGTTACCTGTGTTGTGTAGGGGAGTGTATGTAAGTCACCTGTTGTGCTCGTCAGTGGAAGAGGCTCTCATTAGTAGGGTTAGTATGACGCTCTGTGACTTCCCAGAAAATCATGGAAATGTTTAACACGATCTAAAGGTTCTGGCATCACTGCACGAGAGTCAACACAAGTATACAGTTATGGAGCAACAGTCGGGTATCTTGTTACTTGTTATACACACACACACACACACACACACATCTGTAAACAAGATTGTGGGGCACTTTATATCAAGCTATCTGTGTGTCCTCTCTCTCACTACAGGTCACCATCATCACTACAAGTCACCATCATCATCATCACTACAGGTCATCATCATCACTACAGGTCATCATCATCACTACAGGTCATCATCATCATCACTACAGGTCATCATCATCATCACTACATCACCATCATCACTACAAGTCACCATCATCACTACAAGTCACTACAGGTCATCATCATCACTACAGGTCATCATCATCACTACAGGTCATCATCATCATCACTACAGGTCATCATCATCATCACTACAAGTCACCATCATCACTACAAGTCACCATCATCACTACAAGTCACCATCATCATCACTACAGGTCATCATCATCACTACAAGTCACCATCATCACTACAGGTCACCATCCTCACCACAGGTCACGGGTTCACAGCCTCATCAGATCACAATCTTTATCACACATCACCATCCTCACCACTGTTCATTATCCTCATCGATATTCACCGATAAACAACCTCACCATAGGTCACGGGTCATTGTCTTCACCACAGGTCAGGGGTCTTTAATCCTCACTCAGATCACCATTCTCACCACACTGTAAGCCTCAAGACACCAGCTAACACTTGCCTGCATCTTGGAGACACTTGGTAGAACTGTGACAATGATGAGACGTCTCCCTGTGTATATATATATAGTCTCCCTCCCTTCCTCCCTCCCTCCCTCCCCCTCCCTCCCTCCCTCCCTCTCTCTCTCCTTCTCCCTCCCTCCCTCCCTCTCTCTCTCCTTCTCCCTCCCTCCCTCCCTCCCCGGTGCAACATCAAGGCCCCCTCAACTTCGCCAGGGAAGGGAGGATGGGAAAGAAAGAGGTGAGGGAAGGGAAAGGAAGGGAGAAAAAGGGAAGGGTGGGTAGGGGAAGGGAGGGGAGAAAGGAAAGGGGGGTGGTTGAAGGGAAGGGAAAGGAAGGGAAAGGAAGGGAGAAGAAGGGAAAGGAAAGGGAAGGGGAGGAAGGGAAACGAGGGGGGAGGAAAGGAGAGGGGGGGAAGAGAAGGAAGGAAGGAACGAGAATTAGGGTAAGAAAGAAAAATACTTAGAAAGAAAAGAAGAAAAATGAGTTACCGTAGAAGAAGAAATAAGAGAAGGAGAAAGAGGAAGAGAAAAAAATCATTTGGCAGTGTATAAATGTCCTTGATATCTACTATACAATATCTAGTCTATACCATCGTTAAAAGTAATTAAAAAAAATATATAAAAGAAGACTAAAACCCCCCCACTGATATGAGATACATGACCCATTGCTACACTTCCTCTTACATAGACAACAGGAACACAATGTTAGCACTGAGATAACAACAGATACGACGACCCCTTTTTCATCCATTTCTTCATTCATCTCTTTTTTGTGTGATCGGGTTCTGGAGGAGAGTAGGAATTGAAACTGATGGAGATATTGTCACATACTATATACTTTTAATATCTCTCTCACATACAGACAGACACACTCGCCTTATTGTTGTATTGTGGACTGATATCTAGACAACACAAAGTCAGTTTCTTCCACCAGACGAGTTCTCTTTGATAGTTTTTCCTACGAAGTCTTACTCTATTATCTAAACAATATACTTTATAATGATCCCTACTAACACGTACATCAATAGAATGTTGCTAATTAATAACCTTGACACACACACACAAGATACTACGAGGTTGATGGATAGAATTAACTAGATTTTGTTGTATTAAGGTCGTCTGAACGTTTCCCTCTTCCAGTTTGAGAGAATTTTAGAGTTAATGACGTCATATTGTTTATATATGGTCCCTTATCCTCAGGAATTTTCTTTGTCTACTGTGAAAGTTTACTAGTGTTGTTTACTTGTTGTTTTTGTTGTTGTTTATCGTTTTGTATTGTTTACTTATTATTATTGTAATTAAATTCATTATCACGTCTACGAAGCTATCATTATCATCTCTGTTTCTTAATGTTTTTCTTCTCTTATGAAACAATTTTTATTATCTGCTTTATAAATGTTTCTTGTGTGTTATATGTAAGATTCATTTATCTAGTTATACTTATGGTGTCTCTGTTGTCATCGTGTATATCTGGAGCACGTTTTATGGCCGGAAGTCCATCCTATCACCAACCTAATTTTACGCAATATGTAGGACTTCCACGAGGACCTGTCACCTCTGAGCTGACTCTGGAAGGTCGCAAATATTACTCGTCTACCTTTGGAGTTCTTTCTACCTATGACTCGAAATATAGATAATGACATCACCGAGAGCCTATAGTTATTGTGTGTGTTGATAGCATTTAGTTATTCCGTTAATAATTAGTCTATAGTTATTGTGTTAGTAATCTATTGTATGTAAATATAGTTGTGTAAACATCTGTAGTAACAGGTATGGAAACATGTGTTGGTCTCCAGTTCACCCGAATATTTCTTCTCTCTGGGGACACATCTTTTAATTTCATTCATCCATTCTTGTGTCTGTCTTCTTCTGTCTCTCCTACTATCCTTTTTTGCTTATTATTATCTCTGCCATTAACCCTCACCGCTGTCTATGTTGCCAGTAGCCTAGTGACCATAATAATATAGTTCACCAGATTTTTTAATTTCGATTCTATTTTCTATTTTTATCAGGTCTCAGTAATTCTTTAACATGTTATTTATTTAACTTTATTTTAAAAATTCTATAAAATGGTCGGAATCTCTAAATACAGTATTGATAAATTGGTTTCTAAATTATGAGAAACTTGTCAAAGAAGTTGGCCTGCATTTAATTCGGGTCACTGGGCTGTTGTTTATGCTGGGGTAAACAGCGGCTCTTCGTGGTGCTTCTTTATTATCTAGTACAGTCACCCATTTACATGTACATAACTTAAAATGTCACCAGATATTCCTTTCTGACCTCAAAGGTGAGATACCAACAGGGCCGGATTAAGCTTAATAGGGGCCTGAGGCACAGGGCCCCCTACCCTCAAGGTATATTTATATATATATATATATATATATATATATATATATATATATATATATATATATATATATATATATATATATATATATATATATATATATAGAGCAAGAACAGAATATACCAAAATTTATCAATGATTTCATCACTATTAAGCTTCTGCAAAATAACACATTCAATGTTCATACGAGACAGATAATTGAGACGTTGCTAGGACATCGTTGAGCGAAGTTCATGTTTTAAATATTTTCAACTTCGAGAATGTTTGGATTTGGGGGCCCCTTAGAGTCGGGGGGCCTGAGGCCAGTGCCTCAGTGCCTCGTGGTTAATCCGACACTGGATACCAAGTGGTGTTTGTTATGTAGACTGTCGGTAAACGTCGTTCACTATGTTTGTTATTATTGAAACTCGTGTGTCATTGGTTAGCTAATCAACCAATCAGAGTCTTCTTTAACCGGTATACTAATAGTGAAATTAACTTAGGTAGCTACATCATTACTGCCGCTGTCATTAATATTCTTTCACGTAATATATCTAAAAAAATAATAATAATTTCTATAATGATACAATTTCAGCGGTAATTCAACAAGGTTCACGTCACAGGAAGTTTCATGGTGGAGCGTTATAAAAAATAATGTCCACCATTATTTTACGTACTTTATTTACCTATTGGTCACCCTACGAGGTGGTCAGTCATGCCCAGGGAAGAAGGCCAGTGGCGGGTGTAAGATCCCTCCTTTGCTCTTGATAACTTTGCCAAGGACCGTTTTAAACCCCCAGTACTGTTCTCGATACCACAACTTAAGCTGGTGTTACGAAATACTTTATATCCTAATGTTCGCTTTTGCAGGCTTGTAGTTTTCCACCCCCTTCGATATTTTAAACATTTCAATGAGATCTACTCTATTGTGTCTTGTCTGGAGGGATGTTAGTGTCAGAGGGAAACTTTTTAATGACTGGGGTTATCAATCACATCGCCAGTATCTAGAAAAGTGTTAGTAACGAAATAGTTGATTAAGGTTGTTGTGTGCTACGTGTAGGGTCTTGCCTCATATAAGAACAAAGAGACTAAAAAGAGACTTGTAGCTGTACAGTTATGTGAGTATCAGAGTCTCATAAACAAGGTCTGATGGATGGAAGAAACAAAGTAATTTAGCGATGCGTGATACAGATACAGCAGCAGCGGCCGACCAGTGTCTCTCTCTCTCTCTCCTCCAGCAGCAAACAGGAAGTCTTCTACTTTCCCTCTCAAGCAAGTGGTCCACTGACACGCACGATAGTTAACAGTGACACCTGATCCGTATTAACAAAAGATGAAGAGTCAAGACAGACACACAGAGAGAGGCAGAATGACACTTTAGACATATACAATAAAAAATCCGTCTTCATATCTGAGGGTTGGCGACCACTCCTCCATGATCTTGACGTGTAGTATGGACTTTACTCCAGTCGGTGGTTACGTGTCCGAACGAGATGACCTTCCAAAGACTACTGGACAAAACATTAGACAAATCATCGACCTATAACCTATGTAGGATGATCTATAGTTATGTAGGCTGTTGTTAGGTGATTATACCAAGAGATATCTATAGTGAGTCCTTGGAATGGTTAAAGGATAATGCAACCATGAGCTAAGAAATCTTAAATCTTGGCTTCTCTGGTGACCTTTGACCTCTGTAGGATGGTTAAAAATAATACATAAGTCTCAACACTATTTATATTATTAAGACCAGTTGTTTAGGTAATTAGTTCCAGAATAATGGACCAAAAAACAAAGACGGTTGTGTTTTTACAGGACTATAAATACACTCCAGGACTTTTTTAATTACTGTGAAAGTGACTGTGTAGGTGACTGTGAGGGTGATTGTGAGTGTGTGGGTGACTGTGAGTATGTGGGTGACTGTGAGTATGTGGGTGACTGAGGGCACTGTGGGTGACCGTGTAACTGTTAGTTCGGTGATGGTGGGTGGCGACTGTGACTGTGTGGGTAACTGAGGGTGACTGGCTGTATAGATGACTGAAAATGATTGCGACTGTGTGGATGACTGTAAGAGTGACTGAGTGGGTGACTATGAGGGACATAACCAAAGAACAGTTAAAAATATGTTCGTGTATTTGACTTTTAACCCCATAACATCCTTAGATAAATATAGGTTCCTGATACACAAAAGTATACCAAGGTTAAGCAATAGTGTAATACAGGTTAAGTGGTTTGTGCCCTACTGACAGCGATATACCCAACCTTAAGAGCTTCCCGCCAAAATGGTGTTTACCGTCCACAGGTAACAAAATACTAATGGCTGGTCTAATGTTGGCGCCCTTTTCACGTAATTCGGTCAAACGTTATCATGGGAGAAGAAAATACTGTGATGTAATCTAATGTGTCTCAGTAACGTGTTCTTGATATGTTTCTTACCGTATGTAATATTATGTTATATGTATGTTTGAATGTGTAGTCAGTTTGTGTTAGGATAAAACTTTGAGGTATTATACAGTACATATGGAAGTTGTTTAAAATACATTGATAGTTTTTATCATAAGAAGTAATACAATAAATACATAATTTTAATCTTTTTCGTTATTTATATGTTTATCATCTGAATTCTGTCGTGCTTCATCTGTCAGCTGTGGTTCATTTTATCACCGGGGATCCAGTTAATAGGTACACCGTACTGTAGCTGAAAGAGAGAGAGATCGTTGTAGTCCGGCATGTCGCTATCCTCCGACGCTGCCACGCCGCCACTCCCGCCAGCTGACGATGTTGTGGGAGACGTAGCCGGAGTGAGAGTAGTCGGGTAAAACTCTTGGCTGCTAGAAGACGCCGTCGTATCTCCGTTCGTGTTGGCGTCGTCCTCAGGGGGTGTAGATGCACTCTGGTCCTTTATTTTGCTTTTATTCTGACTCCAAATAGTTGAGTGTCTCTGTGAGGGCGTCTGATCTATGCCGCTGCCTCTCCAGGTGTTCGGTTTAGGGTTCAACAGTCCAAGGGGAGGCTGGATATGGCTGGTGGCGTTATCCCTGGCGGTAATAACGGGACGGCGTCTATTGTTCGACCCTTGGGCGGCCTCTGAAGGTTGTTTTCGGTGGTAATTTATTTCATCTCCACGGAGATTAATGGGCCTCTGTTGACCAGAGACGTGTGTGTGTCCTGCAGCAAACTCTGACTCAGACACAACGTTGCCTCTGAGTGGTTTTGTGGGGCGTCGTCGTTGGTCTGGATTTCTGGCAGGGCTCGGTGGTCGTTCAGAGTAGTAAGGAACATCTTTCTTGGCTGTGGCGGGTTTTGTACGTCTGTTCTGGATAGCCTCTGATAGGACTGGCCTTTCATAGTAATATGTGACATTATCTATCTCTTGTCGTCGTCTGTGTGTATTAACAAAACTTCCAGGTAATGAAAATGGGGCGGTCTGGAGGGCACTGTCATTGAAACTATTGGAATTGGAGTCGGAAAAAGAATGACGTGCTTCGTCCCTTGATGATTCTTCTCCCTTGTTCTCGACGGCTCCTCCTCCAGGAACTTTGTCTTTAGCACCAAAGACGCTCTCTGGAATCCTAATGGCTGTAGCACCACGCACTGGCTGGTGGTCGTGTTGAGTGTCGTGGTCTGGGACGAGGAAGATTGTTTTGGTTCTGCCTCCAGGTGCCGGGAGGTCGAGTGTCCACAGCGATCTGGTTATGGTCAGGATGAGGGCGTCCATCCTCCCGCTGTTGCTGCTGAGGACGTGTTCGTGCTTGGTACTTGTAAGGACTTCCTTGCTGTCGAGGCCTTCCCGGCTGCTGTTGTGGTCGACGAGGTGAAGGCCGGGATAAATTAGACCGGAGATGCAGCTTCTGTGCCTGCTGCGTCATGCCTCGGTGCACGGTGTCAGCCAGGATATCTAGCATAGAGTTCCTCCTGTTTGGACTACACAGAACAATCATGTTAACCAAAAACCTTACCAGTAACTTTTCTACATCTAAATGAACCACATTCACTAAGGTAGTATTATTCATTATACATTTTACTGATGATACTCGTTCAGTAAATATAGTAGTTCTGATCAGTGAAATAACCTGATGTAGCTTTTACGACAGTACCCCAACACCACACCCAGCCCACAGTACCCCAACACCACACTCAGCTCACAGTACCCCAAACAACACCCAGCCACAGTACCCCAACACCACCCAGCCTACAGTACCCCAACACCACACCCAGCCTACAGTACCCCAACACCACCCAGCCTACAGTACCCCAACACCACACCCAGCCCACAGTACCCCAACACCACACCCAGCCCACAGTACCCCAACACCACACCCAGCCTACAGTACCCCCCAACACCACCCAGCCTACAGTACCCCAACACCACACCCAGCCCACAGTACCCCAACCACACCCAGCCTACAGTCCCCAACACCACCCAGCACAGTACCCCAACACCACACCCAGCCCACAGTACCCCAACACCACACCCAGCTAGGTCTGAATATGAGTGGAAGCTTCATTGAAAAAGTCATAGTGACAAATTGGTATATACTTATTATGTTAAATCAACTCTATCAACTGTCAAGCCAATTACCCTATTTTACCCTATTTCCCTTCAGTTACATCAACTAGCGTCATTCGTCCTCGGAAGTGTCGTCTGATTGGTCGGTGGAGCCATTCATTAGCTGAGATTAATGAAGTGATAAAATTACAGTAGAGAAATTTAATGAGATATGAATTGAGGAAGGAAGGTGTGGAGGAAGGAGGGAAGGTGTGGAGGGAAGGTATGGAGGGAGGAGGGAATGTGTGGAGGGAAGGTCAGTTAGGCGTTGCCGACTCAACCTTACAATAGACCATAACATGTACTGTCGCCCCTCCCCCTCACCCTGTCTCTCACCTGTCTCTCTCACCTGTCTCTCACCCCACCCTCACCCTCTCACCTGTCTCTCACCTCTCCTGTCTCTCTCACCTGTCTCTCCTGTCTCTCGCCTGTCTCTCACCTGTCTCTCTCCTCTCACCTGTCTGTCACCTCTCACCTGTCTCTCTCACCTGTCTCTCTCACCTGTCTCTCTCACCTGTCTGTCACCTCTCACCTGTCTCTCTCTGTCTCTCTCGCCTGTCTCTCACCTCTCACACCCTCTCACCTGTCTCTCTCGCCTGTCTATCACCTGTCTCTCACCTCTCACCCCTCACCCTGTCTCTCACCTGTCTCTCACCTGTCTCTCCCACCTGTCTCTCTCACCTGTCTGTTACTCACACACTCTACAGATAAGAAGAGACAGTGTTTGATTTAAAGTATCTTACACACACACACACACACACACACACACACACACACACACACACACACACACACACACACACACACACACACACACACACACACACACACGGACGGATCTTCAAAAAGGAAAGAGCCATCTTTTGACCTTTGACCTAACCTGACCTAACCCAACCCAACCTAACCTAACCTAACCTAACCTAACCTATCCTAACCTATCCTATCCTAGCCTATCATTATACTAATTTACATATGAAGAAATACAGAGAGAAAAATATACACACACCTCAACTAACTTTCTAATAATACAAAGGAGAAAACATCGACAGGTTAATTAAGAAAAAGGTGTTTAAGTGGACACTATTATACAGGTAGACTAATTAGGTATTTGAGACACCTGGTGTAATACTCTTCCACGGACACTTTCTATGGTCGTTAATAATATAATTAACTAATAACTGGTAATGATATATAATTAACTCTTTTTTTTGTATAGTGTTCAAGTGTAAGTGGTTCTTTGTCTGTCTGTCTGTCTGTCTGTCTGTCTTGTCTGTCTGTCTGTCTGTCTGTCTGTCTGTCTGTCTGTTTGTCTGTCTGTCTGTCTGTCTGTCTGTCTGTCTGTCTGTCTGTCAAGAAAGTCTACAGAGGCAACACAATAATGTAAAACTCTCTCTCTCTCTCTCTCTCTCTCTCTCTCTCTCTCTCTCTCTCTCTCCTCTCTCTCTCTCTCTCTCTCTCTCTCTCTCTCCTCTCTCTCTCTCTCTCTCTCTCTCTCTCTCTACCTGTCTTTATCTCTTCATCCTCCTTGACACCTAAGCTACACACCTGATTTCTACCTTAATTAGATATCCTCTTCACCTGAGTAACACACACACACACACACACACACACACACATCAACTCCTAACTTCCTTACTCTCTCCTGACGAAGGTGTGAGGGCGTGAGAGGTAGGCAGCCACCCCTAACCACAGCGCCACCCCGAGGAGCGCAGTCAGTAGCACCGACCCCACCACTCCTGCCAGCGACCTGAAGAAGGAAATGGTAATGGTGATGGTGATGGGGAAACCTGTATAATCCCCCTTCAACTAGATAAACTCCCTTCACTTAGATAAACCCCCTTCACCTAGATAAACCCCTTCACCCAATAACCCCCTTCACCATAAACCCCCTAGATAAACCCCCTTCACCTAGATAAACCCCCTTCTAGATAAACCCCTTCACCCTAGATAACCCCCTTCACCTAGATAAACCCCCTTCACCTAGATAAACCCCTTCACCTAGATAACCCCCTTCACCTAGATAAAACCCCCTTCACCTAGATAAATTCCCCCTTCACACACGTAAAATCCCCCCCCTCTCCTTTCACCTAGAGAGTATCAAGGTGTGAAAGTCATTAATTACAGAGGACTTACTGTACCTGTATCTCCTGACCCAAGACTGTAATACCAACCTGTAATAATAATGGGTGTTGTTATTATCACCGTGTCAACATACCCTCGTCTCGTCTCCTTACTTTTAACAGTGTAGGGAGATAGTGACTCTTACTGTGTGTGTGGATGAGCTGTGGTTGTGTGGATGATTGTGGATGTGAACTGTTGTGTGGATGATTGGTTGTGTGGATGAGCTGTGGTTGTGTGGATGATTGGTTGTGTGGATGATTGGTTGTGTGGATGATTGGGTGTGTGGATGGACTGTGGTTGTGTGAATGATTGGTTGTGTGGATGAGCTGTGGTTGTGTGGATGAGGTTACTATTGCTCACTGGTTCGTGTGCATGAGATTGATGCAGACAGTCATTAATTTGGAGTAAGAACAGGAGTGAGGAAGGAACAGAAGTAGGAAGGAAGAGACAGTGTGGAAGGAAGGAACAGGAGTAGGAAGTGAAGGAACAGGAGTAGGAAGGAAGGAACAGAAGTGGGATGGAAGGAACAGGAGGTAGGAAGGAAGGAACAGGAGTAGGAAGGAAGGAACAGGGTAGGAAGGAAGGAATAGGAGTAGGAAGGAAGGGACTGGGAGTAGGAAGGAAGGAACAGAGTAGGAAGGAGGAACAGGAGTAGAAGGAAGGAACAGGAGTGAGGAAGTAAGGAACAGGGTAGGAAGAAAGACAGGAGCAGGAAGGAAGGAACAGGGGAGAAAGGGAAGTAAGTAACAGGTAGGAAGGAACAGGGTAGGAAGGAAGTAAGGAACAGGAGAAGGAAGGAAGGAACAGGAGTAGGAAGAGTAAGGAACAGGAGTAGGAAGGAAGTAAGGAACAGGAGTAGGAGAGGAAGGAACAGGAGTAGGAAGAAAGTAAAGGCAGGAGTAGGAAGGAACAGGAGGAAGTAAGGAACAGGAGTCGGAAGGAATTAGGAACAGGAGTGGAGGAAAACAGAGGAAGAAGTAGAACAGGAGGAAGGAAGAAGGAACAGGAGGAGAAAGGAGAAGGAACAGGAGTAGGAAGGAAATAAGGAACAGGAGAGGGAAGGAAGGAAGGAACAAGAGTAGTAGAGTAAGTAACAGGACTAGGAAGTAAGGACCAGGTGTAGGAAGACGTAAGGAGCAGTAACAGTAGCAACGGATGTATCCAGTACTTTACATAATTAAGCCACCATCAGGAAGTGGAAGTTACCTGTCACCGCCGTTACTTTCATGCTCAGGGTAACAAAACGGTGACGGCAGCTGACAGGCATTAGACAGGGCTGTTACTCTTGCCGTCGTTATCTGTGACGGGCGGTACTTCTCGTGGGAGGAGGACGGGTGGAGTGTGGAGATGATGGTGAGGGAGGAGGAGTGTTGGAGATGATGGTGAGGAGGAGAGGTGTTGGAGATGATGGTGAGGTGGAGAGGAGTGTTGGAGATGATGGTGAGGAGGAAGGAGTGTTGGAGATGATGGTGAGGGAGAGAGGAGTGTTGGAGATGATGGTGAGGAGAGGTGTTGGAGATGATGGTGAGGTGGAGAGGAGTGTTGGAGATGATGGTGAGGAGGAGAGGTGTTGGAGATGATGGTGAGGGAGGAGAGGAGTGTTGGAGATGATGGTGAGGGAGGAGAGGAGTGTTGGAGATGATGGTGAGGGAGGAGAGGAGTGTTGGAGATAGGGTGGAGGATAGCCAGATTATCCCTGAGTTCATTTCCTTTTATCTTATATTTATGTTATTTATTTATTGATTCACATATTTACTTTCCATTCTTGTTTATCTGATTATTTATTCGTGTTTATTTATTTATTTACTTCGTTTACTGTCTTTTTATTTATGTTATGTATTAATTACGTTATTGTTATATTGTGTTATAAAGTTACGTATGTCATTGGCCTGAATATCTGAACCAAACAATACCTGGTGAAAGTGTGTGACTGTCTCTATCTGTCTACTGTATCTGTGTAAGGAAACAGTGATATATTAGCAGCTAGATAAACAGTACTGGTGGACGGGATCTGTCACCAGCAGCGTCGTTTACCCGTCTGTCAGAGGGATGGACACCTGGTTCTTGGTAAGGGGGCCGTCTACTCCTGCTGGTGTTGTCGGTGGTGGGTCCTGTATCAGTTGCTCCGCCGTTATCGTCCTCACAGCGCTCTCTGTTATTACTGGAGGAGGAGACAAGGGTATTAGTTTAGATGTGTGATTTATAGGAAGGTGGGAGAGATACTGAGAGAAGTGGGGGAGATGCGGTGAGAGGAAGAGGGTGTAAGGAGGAGTGAATGGATGACGAGAAGGAAGAGTGGGAACTTGTGTGGAAGAGGTACGATAAGGTGAATAATTTAGAGTTTGTTAATACACACACACACACACACACACTAGGCTACAGTATTAAGTGGCATCACATTAGTATCAGATCCACTCTTATATGACTCATTAATGACTTGGCTGATTTTCAAATGACCCTTTAAACTAACGATACACTCATGTTCCGATATATTCAGTCTGTCCAAAACAGTTCCCTGGTGACTATATAATATTTTCACTGACATTTGTAAGGTGATGATTATTGGCTGGGCATTACAAAGGAGCTTTACAATTTGTTATACGAGAAATAAATGTAAAAAGGTTAGGTAAAGCTGACGTTATTATCACAATGCTGTTTTAAGATCACAGAAACGAAAAAAAAAACAGGACGGTAATGGACTAGGGCGTATAAATATTATATGAATTTACACAACTCTGGTCTGCCTACATATCCTTAAGTACTGTACGTCACTGTAATATAACATGAAAGACATTCTTGAAATCGAACGTATTTAAGGAGACAGGCAACGAAATTAACTGAAGAATTTGAACTATGGAGACAAAAGAAGTTTAGAGGTATAGAATGGATCCTCTTGGCACTTACAAAACAGTATAATGGTATAAAAGTTCTTCATGGTGTTGGTAAATATTATTAACAATTTCTACGTGGTTTTTTTTTTCACTTCTAGGATGTTGAAGGAGAAGTATTTTACAGTTCTAACCACAGCTACACCAGAGACAACTCACAGCACTATACTACACTTCAACGAAAACTAAGCTCTCAGTCTTGTTGTTTCGCTAGGTTACACTGCACTCGTTTTATCGTCTTTTCAGTTTGTTTTGTAAGTTTTCCTTATAAAGTGTTCCATAGCTTCTGTCATCATTACTCTTGATTTCATAGAGTCAGATTAATAATTATCTGAAATAAAAGTAAGTAATGTAAGTAATGTAAATACCAAGAATAAATACTGTCCTGTCCTACCATCTTAGAATATTAACTCCATCGTCCATTCAGCCGAGACATACACACACACACACATGCACGAGGACATAAGGGGAAACACTTTCTCGCCCCCAGAATCTCTTAACCATCAAAATATCGCTTTTAGTGGTCGAGAACCCGCAATCACAACACTCAAAACACCTTCATACACCTGCTCGCCTCCTCTCTTCGCTCGCCTTTTAAACACTTTACTCGCCACAGACAAGTTCAATTAATGTTTCCGCTCATTGGTAAACATAAACAGGAACAGTAATTCTCCCATAAGTAATTGTTCTTGGAGTAACACACAAACACGAGCAGTTTAAGAATAACGTGTCCTTCAGTTCTAGAATCAGTGGAGCCTTCCCCATGCACCAGGAGGAGACCGCCTCGCCCTTCCCACACACCTCTGGCGATACACTGTGAGTTAATATGGACGCAGAACCTGACGAACACCCTCAGATTACCTAACTGTTAACACACACATCTCACGATCTGTGTAGGTTACCCAGGTGTTTTTATCTTTACCGTGATTATCAGAATTTATGACAAAATGGCGATCTAATAAAACTGTGTACGCACATTAAACTTATTTCTTGGACGGATCACTGTAACGAGATAATTCCACGTGAAATATACCCGATGGTAACTGTGAGGACCGGTACCTGGTCAACATGTGTGCAGGCAGGTGGTATGATAATAGCGAGGCTGTGGTCGACTGGTCGGGGTGCGGTGTTCTGTTGCTCCTCCCTACACTGCTGCTTTCCATATGTCCCACACCGGCTCTGATGATGGCCATTACGACGTGATCACGGGGACTCTGGGGACCTGTCGCTTGTAAAACAAGATTTAACTGTTTAAAATGAAGGTGTTCTCGGCGTGTACTGTACTGTACACCTGTACATGATCCCACCATTTGGTCCGGACGTGTAAAAATTTTAAGTTTTTTTTTCCTGAAAACACCTAAGACCCTAAGTGATGCTATCTTAGATGGTGTTATTGTACTGTATTTAAAATTTATTCTTGTAATATATACTGATTAGTCTATAAAGATGACAAAAGATTATATATATATATATATATATATATATATATATATATATATATATATATATATATATATATATATATATATATATATAAAAAAAAGAGAGAGAGAGAGAGAGAGAGAGAGAGTAGGTTAGGTTAGATAAGATTAGGCAAGGGCGGATCCAGGGGGTCCTGGGGGTCCAGCCCCCCTTTTCATCAGAAATTTCCGATATTTATCCTTTAATGTAGTATTGTACGCAGACGTTTTTGTATAATAACAAGTAATTACTATTGACCTCAAAATATCTCCTAATATCAAGTACACAGGGCCATGATATTGGTCAGATTTAAAAAAAAATATGTGGAGCTTACAGCGCCCCCAAAAAGTAGGTGGGCTCGCTATGCTCGCCATGTTCCCTACCCAAAACTTCTTGGAGCCCCACTTTTAATATTCCTGGATCCGCCCCTGTTTGGTTAGCCTAGAAATATATTTGGTAGTAGGCAGTTATCAAACAGGGAGGTACTACCGCCTGGGAAGATATTGGAAGCATAATGTGGTGTCTAATGGTAGACCCTGCTGCCATATGGCATCACAAATATTGTGACCAAGTCTCAGGTTGCTGATCTGACTTTCTGCCTCATTTACACACAGTTGCAGGTGTCAGTTGTTTTCACTATTGACAACACAACATACACAATTTATATTGTTTCTCACTTTTGATTTTTTTTTTTATTTTTGCATATCTTTGTGGTTCTATTATTATTATTATTATTATTATTATTATTATTATTACAGTGTTGTCATTATTATTATCATTATTATTTTATTTTAAATTTTGTATTATTTATTAAAAAAAATATTTACTAAGAATTATTATTATTATTATTATTATTATTATTATTATTATTATTATTATTATTATTATTATTATTACATTTTCGCCCCCCAGGCCCCGATGTGGGTCAGTGACCTGTGCCCGGGTGGACTAATACCCAAAAACAAAAAAAAAAAACAATAGCACTCGATTATGTACACAGGCCTAACCAAGGATAGAGTAGTCCTTGGGCCTAGCTACTTTAGAATAAGAGTTGTGAACTCTTTTTTTTTAATCATATTCGCCACTTACCAGCTTACTAGCCGTTTAGGCGGTTTATCCAGTGTTAATAGTGGTACAGGAGGAAACCGGGGACCGGGAACCTGTGGTGATTGGTGGGTCACACTGGGTAACACCCTTCTCACGGTGTACCGGCCGAGGCTCGAACCCTTGACATATTACTAATAAGAGTTCTGCGCGTTACCGCTGTACCACCAACACCCTGCCAAAGAATATTGTGAGAGCACCAAGAGTGAGCTTCTTTAAGTCCAGACTTGACTAATACTGACACATGCTCAGGTATACTCAAGGGCCTGTCCCAGTACTCCAAGTAAGAACTTCAAACAGTGACTCAAGCCGCTCGCCCCGTGACGTCACAAACAACACTGTATTTCATCATGGATATAAACATTCACAAATTAACAAACATTTATTTGTAATTTGAGCACTACATGTTAATAAATTTCCTTAAAATTAGTTATAAAAATATTAAATAACTGTTCATTTATAACTAAAAGAGTGTTCTTATTCTTAGACATTAGTTGATATATTAATGTGTGTCCGCGCCGCCACAGCTGATCCTCGGCGCAGACCAACAACACCTTATACCTCTACTGTCCTCTACTCTACTCTGCCTCTTAATATCCTGAGGAGGAGTGAGAGCTGAAGAATGGAGGCCCTCATTCCTGTTATAAATAAGCTACAAGATGTATTTAACACTGTGGGTGCTGATGCCATACAGCTGCCTCAGATAGTGGTGGTCGGCTCTCAGGTACTGGCAGTTTTAACTAATATAACTAATAACCTAACTCAACCTAGTTTGGGAGGTTAGGTATATTACAGGTTAATTGTGATGAGTCTGCTTGTATTTTTTTATTATTTTTATACGAATTAATTTCCCGTAAAACATCATAGTTAATACCGTACTCTATGAGGGGAATATATTTAACAATGATGTATAGTATTTTGATAGTCTCCTTCTTTATGATGTAGTAAATGAATGAAGTACGTTATATGAACATTATAAACATTTTTGGCTTTTACAGTTGATTTCCAGGTGTAAAAAAATCAAAGTTTATAAAGTTCTTTTAAATCCCAGTCAGTGAAACTACTTCATTGATCATTTAGGGAAGTAGACGTGGGTAAAATCATAGTTTCGGTCATCCTTGTATTTAGATATACAAACTAATGAAACCTAACCTTACCTAACCTAACCTAACCTAACCATCCTAACCTAACCCTAACCTAACCTAACCCAGCCTACCTAACCAAGTAACCTAGCTTAATGTAACCTAACCTAACCATCCTAACCTAACCTAACCTAACCTAACCTAACCTAGCCCACCAACCTAACCTAACCTAACCTAGCCTTACCTAACCAAGTAACCTAACTTAATGTAACCTAACCTAACCATCCTAACCTAATCTATCTAGGGGCCTTGCCCTCCCAGACCCCCTTACGATTTCCCGGATGACCGAAACTAATATAATACTGTTGACATAAATGATCTTTAGTATGGGGAATTCTTACGTCGCATCCCTCAGTCACTCGATGACATTAGTGTGAAACAAACATACAGTATAACACTCAGTGAACATGTTACCATCAGTGGCTTCTCTCTTAATGGTTATAAATATTTTCCTTATACTCTACTCTATTAACCTACATGAGATATGTTTTACAATAGCTTCCACATTACAATACCAATTATTTCTATAACCAAAGATTCTGGAGAGTGTACCTGTACCTATACTGTGATGTATTTTGTCAACAGAGCTCAGGAAAAAGTAGTGTATTAGAGAGCCTGGTAGGGCGGTCGTTTCTTCCCCGAGGGGTTGGAATTGTCACCCGACGCCCGTTGGTGCTACAGCTGGTGTACACGTCTCAAGATGACAACCAGCACCGCCGCAGAGACAGGTGGGTACAGTACATTAACCGAGGCACATTGGTTCATAGTTACAGTCAAGAAGTTCAGATGTTCCTCAGATAGCTACCAAGAGATGCTGAATGTAAAGGATGATGTTAATTTAATGTTAATTTTGTTGAAGTTTTTTGTAAATATAATTACAGTGATTAAAAAAGTGTTAAGTAGGCATCACTTTGTAATCTATCTGAGTTTCAATGAACAAATTTTACCTGACAGTACAGCATATTTTTTATGCATGAAATTGATCAACATTTGCATTGTAAGTACTGTAGGTAGGTAGATATTTTCAAGGCTCACTCACTAAGACATGACTGGTTGCATAAGGTAGGAGTTTTGTGTACTGCATATAATTTATTGACATACGTACTGTACTGTAATTTATTCATCCACTAAGTTTTATAAACACATTCTTTTCTCATGATGTTTAATGAAAAATTCACATATATTTAAATAAGACAAACTCTTGTTAAGGAAAGTCAATACTCCACTGACAAGTCAGACCAGCAGGTAAATCCGTTTGGCAATGCTTACGTGATGCCATGCCAAGCCCACGTGGTCCTCCTCGCAAGAAGGCGGGGTCCAGACATAGCCTCAGTAATCCCCCAACTCCAGGTAACATAGTGTAATAATACTCTTAGGAAAATCTGTAGCTTTAAATCAGTGCTGATCTGACAAAGGGTGTTCAGTCCATGTTCGTCTTTCACTGGATGTGCATTAGAAGAAAGTGCTGTTCTTTGATAGGCTAGTGTGAAGAGACATACCTGTATGCAGGTGTGGAAAAGAATGCACTGGACCCTTGATAGAGAATGAGATTCAGAGTCTTAGGTTCAAATTACTAAGTAAATTTATCTCTATTAAAGAGAGTTAGTGTGTTAGTAGCCAGTGTAAATGTTTTAGTGTTGTGAACTGTCAGAGTATTTCCTGAATTGCTGTATGTGTTCTGTGTAGTGATAGTACAGTAGTGTGTTTTATGGATTGTCTAGCTTGGCCCCCCCTCTTGCTGGACTCTTTGTAATGCACAACAGAATTTACAACTGGTTTAGCGGCTGGATGTGTGGTGGTGTGGGTGACGAGAAGGATGACACACTGACAGCTTATTTGTAGACTTATTAACATGGCAAATTTTAGAGAATAAAGATATGTTAGTGAAATAAATAAGCATACTGATAACAAAAAAAGCATTATATTTGCCATTTTTCATTAATACAGTACTAATGAAATAAAATTATAAACTGGTTATTTGCTCATAAATAAAGGCGTGGGACTTTTTTTTTTACTGCAAGCTTTAATAAATGAGGGTGTCTGTAATACATAACAAGTGGAGTTAAATCTGATTAACTCACCAGTACTCTGAGACACCTGATATAACCAGAGGTCACAACAAGTGGGTGGTCTAACTTACTACTGTACCTTTGTGTGGAGTGGTGTTAGTTTGGCTACAGGTAATAAGTGGGTCTTACTCCACCATGCCAGAGATAACCTATTCCTGTGTACTGTACTTAAGGTGAGAGCGAGTCAATCCAAATATTCCTTTGATTATAGATTCAGCTGTACAGTATTGGTGTTGATGATCAGAGCGGACTTATCTCAGTATTATGTTATCAAAAATGGACTTAATGTAACACCCCTTGCCAGATCAAAAGTAATGTTGTGTAACTTCTAACAGGCCTAGAATATGAAATCCTTGAGTTACCCAATATATTTTTAATTGTCTTGTTTACAAAAACTGTCGTGTTTTTTGAGAAGTGTGAATACAGTACTGACTTTTTCAGATAACTGGAAAGCCAGAGGAGTATTTAAATGCCTGGTGCAGTTGGAAGCAGGACCTCTGCCTGTGGTGTAATATTTTACTGGAACTAATGTTTGTCGCATGTTGTTGCTGTAATAACACAAATATTTAAACTGTAGTGGTGTTTGTGTTTCCAATTTCTTTAAAGGCAATTTTTTCATAGTGAATCTACCATGGCCATATCATCTTGCTGAGCTTCTCTTCATCCACTATCTCTGCCCTCTGCTATTACAAACACCTGATATACGTAGTTATTTCTCATCTCAATTTTAGAGATGGTTTCATTATATGCTCTTATTTCAGTGTAGTTTGTTAGAGTGTGAGGTACAGTGTACTACAGTATTTCCCAGTTTTTACCCTCCATGCTTACATTCCTTCCTCATTTACGAATGCCTTCCACCTCTCCACTCACCCTTCAGCCTGATGTCACTGTGCATCATGCCATTTTGTCATAACATGATTCTCGGCTATTTGAATTTCTCAACCACTTCCATAATATCGTTTTTATCACAATATTTTAGAACTACTGTAATTTTGCTCAATTCTTATACTGTAAATAGTGTTGGTGCAGTACTGTATATAGCTTACATAAACCCATTATATCAGATGCTTTCTCAGAGATGTAGGGACTCGAGTCATTCTTTATGTGGACTTGAGCCTTGACTTTGACTCGGATGTAATCTTACTTGAGTCGAGACTTGCAACTTCATAAGAGACTCGTGATATTCTGACTTGTGACTTGACTCATCAACTCTTATGTAAATGTACAAGTAAGCTATTTTAATGATTTCTTTTAAACTCTATTAATATAAAGAGAAACGGAGAGGGATTAGCATCATGATTAAAAAGTACTTTTTAAATTGCTAGTACAGTAGACCCTTGCCGTCCGTGAGAGATAGGTTCCAAGGAATGGTGCGAATTGGCAAAACCGCGAATTGCAACTTGTACTACCTTAGTGCACTACTGTATACCTATACCAAACAACCGACCAGTCGCGGCAGCACTCATCCTCTCTTTTTAACTTATCTAATAATAAACTTTTGTCAGGGTCATCACTGACTTCTGCCTTTGACATCTCACTACACTAGCAGTGATACTAGGCAGCCTTTTAGGGGCCATTTCACACAGAAACACTAAAGTACTGAGAGTACAACACAAGATGTTGTGTGGGGTGACTCGTTGTGCTGCGGGAAAAGGCTTACAAGCTGGCCACCACTTCAAAAAGCTGGTTTTCCGGCATCTTCATGATGTAGATTTACTGTATAATGTTTCTTTTCTATTTTGAATTTATTTTTATTCTTATTTTTTCGTCCCCTAGGCCCCGTTAGGGTCGATGACCTGTGCCCAGGTGGGCCATTCCCCGAAAATAATAATAATCTACTTACCACGAATTGTTGAAATCGCAAATGGCAAGGGTCTACTGTATGTACACTGAAATTCCTCTACAAGTACACCTGAAATTTTCTCTTGTAAAAAAAAGTAATGACTTTCATTCAGTGTTATTTCAATTATGCTTGTTCATCATGGTACTGTATAGTATAGTATAGTAGCCTTACAAGGTAATTGAAGGATGGGATACAAGTTATACAAAACAACATAGCAGAAATATACTTAATGCTCCTCCCAGAACACCAGTCGGTTTTGAACAGTTTACACTCGAGTAACTATTATTATGTACATGGCCATCTTATAAATACCGTAGTATAAACATACTGTACCTGTACTTTCCTTTGATATGAATTTTAGGGTTGATGGAAACCCTGTACACATTTATACATATATTATATTGTATTTCTTTTCTTTTTCTTTTAGGCACTCTGGAACTGGAGGAGTGGGCACAGTTTCTTCACATGAAAGAGAAAACCTTCACAGATTTTGATGAAGTCCGGGATGAAATTGAGCGAGAAACAGCTAAGGTGGCTGGGCACAACAAGGGAATTTGCAACGAGCCCATCAGACTTAGGATATTTTCCGATAAAGTTGTCAATTTAACTGTGGTGGACTTACCAGGGTTAACCAAGGTAGGTCTATAGATTGTGGACCTCTGTTGTACTAAATAGCATTAAAATATGTCTTTGGGTTGAAGGGAAGGAGTATTACAGGTATAGTCGGTGGTGTTCTTAAGATAATGGTTATTGTTCATCCTAAATTGCTTCTACTGTAGTTGAAGAGAACACACTACTGAATTCTCATTTTCATCCCCTTGATGTCTGTGATAGGATGCTTAGTTCACCCTTCTCATGTGATAGGCCAAATAAATTAGACCTAATTAACAATACTGTTTATATAACAAAGAAGTAGTTTGTTGTGTCTCAGAATTTATATTATTATTATACTGTACTCATACACATCCACAGGTTCCTGTTGGTGATCAACCAGAAGACATTGAAACTCAGATTCATCAATTGATTTTATATTATATTGGAAATCCCAACTCCATTATTCTGGCTGTCACTTCGGCCAACATGGACATGGCCACATCGGAGAGCTTAAAGATGTCCAAAGAAGTAGATCCTGATGGCCGACGAACCCTGGCTGTTGTCACCAAGTTAGACTTAATGGATGCAGGTATGTAATAAGAGGCTTATGGTCTCATGAAAATTTAAAAGTAAGAAATTATGATCTTTACTTGAGGCTATTGAGAGAATTTTAGAGTCAAATATCTAAAATCACAAAGTCAAAGTGATTACTGTATGTGCTCGGTTGAGACAAGATATGTTAAGTAATGACTAGTACAGCCTCATTGTTCAGGCAAAATGTCATAAATGCTTATTTTGCTTATTTTTGAAATTTCAGTATAAAATTGCTTATCAGTTCATGGTCATTTACTGTACTTTAGAAGTGAGAGGCTTGAATGATAGCTGTTTGGGGCCATTTTTAACAAAGGAAGAAAAAATGCCCTGGTTGCCACTCTTTCAGCATTGATGGTGCTCATATTACCTTAAGGCATGATGAGCAGTGGTAGGGTATTTAAGCGCTGATGGTGTTGTACTATTTCAACTTGGGTGTGTGGTATCTGATGAGTAACATTAATTTTTGGAAGGCAACTGTGTGGTCAGTCTTAATGCTGGTGGTGACGACGAACAACACAGGAAACAAAACTTTTCTACATCACAGCATATTTATCTATGAATGATTTACACTTTACACTTAATAGAGAATTTATCATTGTATTAATACGTATAGTGTGTTTATAACTAGAGTACAAACATTGAAGATTTTGTGTTTCAGGTACTGATGCCATTGATACACTGTGTGGTCGTGTTATACCTGTGAAGCTGGGCATTATTGGGTTTAAATAGGTCACAGCAAGACATCATTGATGGCAAGGTTAGAAGAAATGTGTTCAGTCCAAGAGTAAATTTGAATCACAGTTGAGTTGAACCTACAAGAGAGAATTTTCTGTACCCTATACTACTGTAATGTTGCTTTTTAATATTTGTTTTATGCTTCAAGCAGAAAAATAAATCAAAATGTCAATACTGTACTTGTCAAGTCCAATGTATCACGTAAAATGTCCTTAAAAATTAAAGGTGTTTTGGGAGATAGTTGCCAAAATTTTTAACTATGAAGATCAGCTGAGAATTTTTAATGTGTACTGTGCAGCAATATCTCACTGAATTCCCACAGCCTATCATACCTAGTTTCCTTGCCAGTTAAAGTTCTGTACCACATTGAGTGCATATAAAGATTAGATTTGCTTCTTCATTAATGTATTTTTTTTTGGGCATTTTGTACACAGGCTATGGTGTTCACTTATGAACTGTATTTTTCTTTGCATATATTAATTTTGCATCTTGTGTTCAGCTATTGTGAACTATTGTTTGTTAAGTTCATGTAATAAACTAATAAAAAAAAAAATAAGTTGGAATTTGGAGGCTGTGTTCTAGCTTATTCCTCCAGCTTCAGTAACAGCCTTACACTGTATGACAGGCTCAGCGGAAGAATAGCGCTATATGATTCCTTGCCTTTTTCAGTCAATAAAGAAAGCGTTGGCAGATGAAGCAGCCTTCCTCCAGAGGAGATATCCTACTTTAGCAAACCGGAATGGCACCCCCTACCTGGCTAAGACCCTAAACAGACTGCTGATGCATCATATCAGAGATTGTCTCCCAGAATTAAAGGTTTGTGGCACTTAGTGTGTTGTAGTAATGTGAGCTTTCTTAAAGGTACCATAGACTTCTCATTAAGGTTTGTTCATTAGTTTGGAGAAAAACATTAGCTGGCTTGGCTAAAATCAAGGAAGAAGAGATTTTTGGATGTTTGGAATTGCAGAAATATTGAAAGCATCAGACTGCTGGTATGACGATATTGGCAAAATTGACTTAAAACAATTATGGTGACACTGCAGAGCATGATTGTGGGTACAGGTACTTGAGCTTGGAAACTACAGGCCCAAAAGTTTGAATCAGGATATAAAAGTCGTGGAAAGAGTTATGGAGAAATTAATAAGGGAGAGAGTGGACGTTAATGAATTTCATTTGGGGTTCATATTTCACGTGGGAGGAAATGTATGTTTGTGTCTTGTGTCTAAGCAGTTGTTGCTTGAAATTTTAGACCTGCTAACTGTGAGAGTATTTCAGTGTTAAATAATATACTGTAAATAAAAATGTAAGTAATGTTTGATTTATCAAGACAGTAAGACATTTGACGGTTACCTTACAGACCCGGGTCACGATGATGATGTCTCAGTTCCAGTCACTCCTGAACAGTTATGGTGATGATGTACAGGACAAGGCTCAGACTCTCTTGCAGATTATCACCAAGTTTAATGCTGCTTACTGCCAGACAATTGAGGGTACTGCCAGGAATATTGAAACTACTGAACTGTGAGTTTCCAAATGTTGTAGAAGTGAACATTTCTGGAAAAGAGAAAATAAGGGGCAATACACACCCTCACAGTGACTGAGTAAGGCATAGATCAAGCTGAAACAATAAAATAAAATGTATTGGTTATATAATTACAGTAGAGTATAAGGAATATATTATGTTTAGAGTCGATGAATGTTTGTAGTCTCACTTGGTCATCATACTGTATATACAAATTCATCTATGAACTGTTTTAGGAGTGGAAACTAGAACAGTTGATAGCCAGACCAGTCTAAATGAACTTTTGACACCTGAAGAAATGGAAACTTTACATATTGAAATAAACTGGGCAGATTAAGTTTGCAATTTGTATTTTTTTTTTTTTTTTTTTATTCAGAAAATGACTATTTCATATAGACAGATCTTATATTTTACTAAATTGGTGTCTTGACAGGTACACTATTTATTAATTAGCTTTAGATTCTTCAGAGATGGAACATAGTGTTATGTAAAAGGTTCTTGAATGACTTAGAAAATACAGTATTATCTAAACTTCTAAAGGATTTAATTATATTTCAAGTATTGTATTCCGTCTTCACCAACAGCTGTGGAGGTGCTCAGATTCGTTATATTTTCCACGAAACCTTTGGTCGTTAACTGGACAGCATTCATCCTCTGGCCTGCCTCACGCAGATGGATATACTCACAGCAATCCGCAATGCTACCGGGCCTAGACCTGCCCTCTTTGTACCTGAGGTAAGTCACATTTTATCATAAAAGTCAACATAAGTGAGTTGGTTATATAAAACTTTGAACTCTTACACATTATATTTTGTAAGCAGGATCTTCTCTTTAAACCATTGTATTATGACATTTGGTGGTGGATGACTTATGGTTAATGTTGACATGTTTTAAAGAAGCTGATACTTGTTATACATCTGGGTATTTTGTACACAATCTTGTCTAGTGAGAGAGAATTATACTCATTAGTGTTTCCAACTCTCCGCAGGTTTCATTTGAACTGTTGGTGAAGCGACAGATTCGCCGCCTGGAAGAACCATCCATGCGGTGTGTGGAGTTGGTTCATGAGGAGATGCAGAGAATCATTCAGTTTTGTGGAACAGAGGTAATTATTGATTCATTATCAAAACACAATGTTATAAAGTTTTCTTTATAGTACATCAGAAATAATAATGTTATATAGAAATTGAATATCTTGCTTCCCAGGTAAAGGGAGAGTGTTATTAACAAACAGTAACCAGGACACCACTTATGGAATTTTAAGACAATTTTACAATAAAAAGCAACAATCTTTAATATTGTACACTAATTTGATTATGATTCTTCTAAAGTTACCCCATAAACATTTATCAGTTAGCCTTACTTAGTACTGTAATTGCATTAATTTTCCAAAGGTTCAACAAGAAATGTTACGTTTCCCAAAACTTCATGAAAAAATTGTCGATGTAGTGACACAGCTACTGCGCAAGAACGTCTACCACCCACCAACTGCATGGTAGGAACAAGTACGGTTTACTTTTATTCAAGTGAAATAAAATAGATGTAAAAGAAATTATAGTCTTCCATTTTATGTAAAAAAATTGCAAATATAAATGTTTTGACTTTTAGAACTGATTTAGATTTCTGTTTTACAAGGTCAGGTATTCTATGACCTTGTGATATGTGAATGTGTGATTTACAAAACTGCTGTGGCTGTTTTCCATAAGAAACAATGGGAAATGTGACCCTGGCTGGGAATTTTGGGGTTATACATTGAGAGGTGTGTGTGTATGTTCACCTTCCCTCAGCTGTCGGTCCTTCACCGAGCTCGTGTCGTTTTATGCAGAATGAAGGAATGTTTGTGGCTGGCGATACCCCTGCCTTTATCAGTGATGAGAACTGCTGAATAGGTGGACCTTATGTTCACTCCACATCTCTTAATTGTTTAACCACACAGTCCTTGGTGTTAGTGTTTAGCTAAAGATTATACTTGTTTTGTTTTAGGAGTGTTGATTAAGTTTGTCTTACGATTCCATTTGAGTGCAACTGGGAATCAGCACCTTATACTGTGACTCTGATTTTACAGTGAGTAATCCAGTCTGTCTTTGGTGGTTTATTTTCCTGGCCTATTAGGGGCTGTTGGGTCTGGATTTGGAAGGAAATTATGTGGTGGTGAAGCAGATTTTTCTATTTTAAAGGCAGTTGGAAGCATCACTGATAATTTTGCTTCCAGATTTAATGGGTCTATTCTACATGTAAACCCTGATCTATGAAGCCTCTGTTTATGAATATTCTAAGTTATGGGAGAGAAAAAACATGCTTTGATTTGTGAATGAAATCCCCCAAAGTTATCAGTAATACTTTGCTGGCTTGTTCTAAGAGCTGAAAAATGTTAACGTAGCTTTCTTTGCCTCTTAGGTTGAAAATCTTGTGGCAATTGAGCTGGCATACATCAACACCAAACACCCAGACTTCCGGCCAGATGCGTCATTAGTGTCCTCCCTCTCGGCAGAAGAAGATAAAACTCGCAACATTCCAGTTCGTCGTGCACATGGAAATGCTCCCTCCACTTATGAACAGGAGATCAGGGAACAGTCCAAGGTAAGGTGCCATCATTTGCTGATACCACAGTTGTATATTGATACTTTATATGAATGGTAGATTTAATTGAAGATTAGGGGAAGGACGAACTACGGCTTTATACCATTGATGACTCACTTAAAGACCCATTCTCTAGAGTTTTGGGAGATAATAAACCAGATACATTTTCAAACGTTATATGAAAAATGTCCAAACTTCTGAATTTGTGACACTTGCAGATAATTATTAAAAAGTCTCCTACCTTCTGGGTCATTTCTTAGTGATGGATTGGAAGGAGCCATTATGTGGTGTGCTAGTTAGGGCTCTGTAATGACTCGCTTTACACTTTATGGTTAAGTTAGTTATATCTTGGTTGTGTTCTCCATCTTTTGATTGGTGAATTTGTAACTGGCATGTAAGGAGAGTGTTTGGCATGTCCTTATTATCATTGTTAGTATAAATAGAGACAAGTTTGATGTCCATATTCACCTTTAGGCTTTTAATCAGTATAACGTAGAAGCTTACTCTGGTTGAGGAATTCTTTGGGGGAAATATATTGGTGTGCTGATTTACCAATGTGTACGGTACTGCGTTTTATATATACCTAGTTATCTTTGTTTTGGTGAATGACGTTATCTCTCACGTTGAATGTTATTTTAGTGAGTGGCATCCTTCTTATGGGTGTCAAGGCTCAAGGCCAACTTTAACTCCTTGGATGACTTTTAAATGTGTAAATTAGGAGAGTGTAGTTAGTGGGGATGATTAATGGAACCGTACATTTTGGGCTGTTGTCTAGTTTTGTTTTTCTGGTGGTTGGCCAATTTTACATTTTCCCCAAGCCCAAAGACTACTGTCAATTTTTTCAAGTACACGTGTATCATCAGTTTCTTTCCCATTTGGTTTAGTCATAATTTTACCACTTGAAGTTAGAAGTTAGATTTTTATATAGTGTAGCCTATGGAGTTGTGTGCTGATGATGAACTTTTAGTATTACAACAGGATTTAGTGCATGTTCTTGCATGGTATCTAAACAAAGATTTATGTAACTCAGGTTAAGAGCGCTTGAATATATATATTATTTCTACATTACAAGAACTTTTTTATGTTTAATGATAACATAAGTATTTTTTATTGAATTATTTGTGTTCAGTTTTGTTCTTGATTTTTGTAATTGTTGACTCAGTAAAGCTAAAAAGATCTAAGATATGTATATTATAGTACTATATATCCAACTACTGAAGGGCTGGGTTACACTTTTCACTTCCCTCATAAGCGTGGAGAGTTGAGGCATATTGACAGCTTTGGTAGTAGAGCGAGTCTTCACGAACACCAGAGGAACCACAAGGTAAAGATAGTTGTAGCTTGTATCTTACTTCCTTGATGGCGACTAATCCAACATTGTTGAGTCATAATGTTATGCTAGTTGGAGATTAAGCAAATGTTTCCTTCTAGATGACTTCATACAGTATATAGAATGCTAATGTATTTGGTAGCCTTTTGTAGTGGGAACATAAGGATCTCTTTGTACACCTTTACTTGTTTGTGGTCAACGACAGCGTGTGGTGAAGCAATTGTCCATATGCTTAACATCAAATATTCTAGTCTAGTTTCTCTATTACTTACCACTAACCAAAGTTTGGACGGTGTGGTATATCTAGTGCCAGGTTTTTGTTACATATGGGTTTTTAAAGGTTAACTACAGACCTTTTTTGTCAGTGGTATACAGTACATAGTTAGATTGTCCATTAAAAGGATAGAAACTGAATTTTTGGCTTCATGGCTTAGTTATAGTATAAAATATTTTAAAAGTATGCATGAAAAATGAGCATAGTGGTCCTGACACATGGCATCATTATAAGTACTGTACAGTATATGTTAACTGCAGGTCACTAGTACAGGATGATGGGAGTGGGAGTTCGCCTCTGATCAGAATCTTGTTTCAACAACTTTACGTACAGTAGTGCAAATTAGGTGAAAATTAAACAATTTATCATATCTTGGAAATAATGTAAAAAAATGATTGTGTTAGCCTCAGACATATACTCTCTCTATGACAGTTGAACAGTAAGTGACCACTCCATTGTCACTAACAAACTCCCCGCAGGATACACTGATAGTTGGCAAGAGGTCTGTCTCAAAAAAAATTTATATACTGTTTATGAAAAAGTATTGATTAGAGTTTCATGATTTGCTAACTTTTATTAACATAAAGGTTGGTTTGGCTGATCTTGAATGATTTTACAATGTTTATATTTTATAATTAAGAGCTTTGAATCAAAGTACTGTAATCCTTGCTAGGCAGTATTTGCTGGTCAGAGTGAAATGGAATTTACACATTAATGATCCCAATTACTCCAATGGTGTATTTATTGAGTAGTTAAAATTGTCATCTTATGGGGTGAGAGTTGCTGGTGGCCACTACTGAACACAATCTGCCTGTAATGTGATACAACGCCACTGAATTTAGGCAACATGGGGTACTCAATAGATGTAACTAATTTATTGGAGTCACAGCTGCTGACATGTGAATCTAGATTTTACGGCTTTTTAGAATGCACTAACATTTGTTAAGGTACAGGAGAGTCTTGTGTACCACTCAGACTAGACATTGCAGCACAACCTTTAATTAGCACCAGTTTAACTTTACTATATAACACACACTCGAGCATAATGTAGTCGTAAAACTCTAGACACTAACACACTAATAATTTACTTGATTTATAAAGTCCTTTTTCTATCAAGAACTGTAATGGGACTACCAAAAGGTTGGTGGGATACAGAGTTGCTAAGTGCTGTGTTTCTTAGTTGCATGCATGGAATTGTATACACTACAGTATATTGAATATCAGCAGTGTACCACATGTTCGAATTTGAAGACTATAACTGTTGAAGGGTAGATAAATAAATACAAAATTGTACGTATTTTCTCTCAAAATACTCACCAAGTGCACTAAATACAATCATCCTGTGAGTGGTGGCCAATGTAAACACGTCGGTCACTCACTACCAGTTACCTACCATTTTCATGCTTTTTCTCATGTGTCCAGCACCATAATATTTCTACTGTACTTTCTTGTTTATTATTAATGTAACTGTAGTAGATGATGCTGGAGATGATAAGGCAGCCACTGATAATTGGGTCATGCAATAAAGTGCTAACACCAAGTAATATAAACACAATAGACAATTGGTGCCAGATTTAAATATTTTGAGTTTGGTTAAAATAGTCAGAGTTTGGAGAGACAGATAATTGATACGCAACCTAAACAGTGCTGCGTTGTAGTGCCCTGTGCCCCACACTACTTAACATTAGTAACACACCCACAAACTATTGTGTTATGAAAGTAAAATGCTCTTAATAATGTATAAATAATTATTGGCCATCACTTCAAATATTTATTTTGCTGTGAGACTATGCAGCAGATGGGGTTTACCATATACTATGTTAAAGACATGACTTGTGGCATCTTATGGTTTACAGACCCACCTCACATGACCTTACCCACTACAGGAAAAATATAAATTTTCACATTTTACTCCACTTACCCAAGTCCACTACAGTATTTCATTTTCTTGACCTAACATGCTTTTCCTCACCATGTTGAAATAATGTTGATCATAAAATTTACTTAATGACCAGCCGTTATCCTTTTCTCCGACCTGCTGGACACTAGTAGAGAATCCCCGAGCAAAATTTTGAGGCTCCCATTGAATGTATAGGATTTTACTGCAGATATATTGGTGCAAAATTAAGTGGTATTTTATTCCTTTGCAAAATTTGCTGGAATAAGTTTATCTGCATTATTACAATATATACTAATAAAGATATACAGAGATTAGGCTTCAAACTTTGCTACTATAATGCTAACAAGTGGAACATAGTCCAGAAATGTGGAGTGTAATAGAACTGTGTCTTACATTATCATATTTTATTGTCTTTATGGATTATGTAAGATTAACTGTAAACTCTTCCTTCTGAGTATTTCACACTTAATGTTTGTATGTGAAGAATTAGTGTGTATATTGTCTTAACATGTGAGGCAGGATGAATCATGGAAGATGTACAGTACACTATGAAAGGATGAATTTCCAACATTTTGAATGACAATAATTGTTTTAATTATTAGAGTTGATAATGATGGTATAAGAAAGTGGGCAGTACTATTGTGCTAGTAATTTATTTCTTATGGCTTATTATTACATAGCTTAAATTTACACTAAAATTGTACAGGAGAGAATTTACTCATTATAATTTTTTATTTTTTATTGTTATTTTTTAGAAAATTACCATATTTTTGTTTTAACCCTTTATATTGATATTTTATAAAAAATATTTAATTAATATTTGCTTCAGTAGTGAGTGCTGTGTTGAACACCTTATATATTTTTATTTAATTTGCAGATTAGAAGTTTTGTTTTACATTTTTATTGCTTAATATGAACTTGCTGCCTTAGTTGTGTTCATAGATGAACAGAGAAGTTTTCTTTTAAAGGACTTGATGGTAGATGGTTACATGGATGGACCAATAAAACAGGTAATATTCTTACTTTAAGGAAGTGCTTCTGTTGATGCTTAATAAGGTGCTTAATGCTTTTACTCAACCTGCAGAAAATGTAGCATCATTAAGTGTAATTTTTGGTGAAGTAAAGCCACAGTAAATAACTTTATACAGTACAGTACTTTACAGTACAGTATTTATAATAACTCAAGACAAAATTTAATTAATTTTCAAGTAAAAGAAAATGGGTTTGGAGGTGAAAGACACTGAAATAGATGAGACAATGACTGTGTGTTACTCTTAATTACCTTAATTACCTTAATTACCTTTACTGTACAGTAATGTAACTAAAACTGAGTTGCGGTCAGCTAGATTGAATTCTGAATGAAAGTTAAAGAATTCCATTATCAAGGACATATAATATTTTCATTATACATTCTTCTCGGTGCTTTTGTATTTTCAAGACTGTTTTGAATGACTGTTACTCACAGTTGTGTTATTGTGTGAACTTAATGATGGACTAGAAAAAAAGAAAAACCTTGAAAGCTTATAGAAGGACTTCATTACACCCCAGGTATATCATCATACAGTACTGTACAGTATATGCTATCTTCAGAGACTGAAAAGTGACCGCAACTCATTGTGGTTGTATGGAAAATAAACAAAGTGAAATTTTGCTATAGGTCAAGGTTAGAATAGATTTGTTAAGGTTAGGTTTGCTTATGTTAGTTTGGGTTAGGTTTGGTTACACTGGGTTAGCTTAGACGAGGTTTAGGCTATTGCAAAATTTCACTTAATTTTATTATGAAAATTCCATATTGCATTGTGGTCGTTTTTCAGTCTTTGAGCCTAACATACTGTATACTTTTGAGTGTCCATAATATCTTTCTATCTGTCAACACGTATATATTATTGGCTTTTAATATATATTTATTTATCTCGGTATACTGAATATACCCTTTTGTCTGTATGTTTGTAATGTCATCTTTCCCTTCAATACTCAGTACAGTAGTGCAAAAATAGTGTCCCTTAAACATCTTAGCAATTGGTCATATCTTAAAAGTAATCTTGAACTAACCAGTAATGCCTAAACTCTTTAATTTGGCTTTGAAGAGGTGCATAAAGTTTCCACTTTATAATGATACGTATGAGATAATAAACATAAGAAAATAAGGAGCCTGCAATAGGCCGGTTGACCTGTGCATGGCAGCTCCTGTCGAGAGTTACTACCACACTCTATCGTCCATTAATCTATCCAGCCTCCTTTTGAAACTTTCCAGCGTTCCAGCACTTACTACAAAGTTGCTAAGCTTGTTCCACTCGTCCACCACTCTATTTGTGAACCAGTTCCTTCCTATCTCCCTCCTAAACCTAAACTTATCCAACTTAAATCCGTTGCTCCGAGCCCTATCCTGCTCGGATATTATAAGAACTTTATCTATATCCCCTTTATTGATTCCTTTCACCCACTTAAATACCTCTATCATATCTCCCCGCACTCTTCGTCTTTCTAGGGAATGCAAGTTTAGTTTCTTTAACCTATCCTGATATGGAAGGTTTCCAAGTCCTGGAATCATTTTCGTCATTCTTCGCTGCACCGACTCTAGTGAATTGATATCCATTCTATAATAACGGCACCAGAACTGAACCGCATAATCGAGGTGCGGCCTGACTAGCGCAAGATATAGTTGCAATAAGACCTCTGCACTCTTATTACTTACACTTCGAGATATAAAACCCAATACTCTGTTTGCCTTATTTCGAACAGTTCCTTTGTAAGTTCCCATGATAGAAGGCGGTGATCCATCCTGAAATATTAGAATACTGTATAAGGAAAATTAGTAGA